ATCCGAACCCTCGGGCGGGAGCGCCGCCGCGCTTCCCAAGTGGCGCACTATCCAGTGCGCCACCGGGCCGGCCCTGTCTTCACATTTTTCTTCACAATGGACAGGTTTTTTTTTTTTTAATTGAGTACCAAGGTATATGTAATACGTATATAAATAAGTATCAAAGAAAAAAAATGAACCAAAGATTCTAGAGGTTATAACACTATTTATAACATATGACAGAGAAAAGTATTCTAAAAATTTGAAAATTAATTCTCTCCTGATTATCCTCACAGCTTTTAGGTTTACATTTCTGAAAAGTGTTATAATTATTTGTTTTTGATATGTCAAGAGTATTTTTGATTTTTAGTGTTTACAACTACTAAGAAAATAAATGTGCATTCTAACTTTAATATACCAAGATGAAGGATATGTATATGTATGTGTGTATATTGCAACCTGGGTCCAGATGTTTGCTCCAATTTGATTTTACTTGCCTAATTAAAATCTTTCCAAATTGCTGATTGAATATGAAAAAAAATTGATTCATAATTTAAATAGAAGAGGTTTTGTATGGGTGAAATTTATTTAGCTAGAATATAGCCTAGTTGTGTTACTGTTGGCTAGTCATGTTGATCAGATTACAGATAAATAGTCCACATGTCATTTTCAGCAGAACTTCATATGTAGGCTATATATTGGAATGTTAGAGCTGCTATTTGAAGAGATTATATCATTTAGGTCAAGCTCTTCATTTTACGGGTGAGGCCTGGAGAAGTTGCAACTTGTCCAAGGCCATTAATGGAAGAACTGAAACTAAGATCTTAAAATTCACTTATAACTTATGTCTTGACTATCTGTCTCCAGTCCTCCATTGCCAACTGTTCTTTTCCCTCTTGTCTCTGTTGCCTGAGGAATATTTCTTGCTACCCTTGGAAGATTGGCAAACCAATCAGGGTTATTTAGCCTCATCAGATGTCTGCAAAGTCATCTGTATGTGAAGTCATTTCCTAATACAGTAGTCCCTCTTTATCTTTGGGGACACATTCCAAGACCCCTCCCTGGTGGATGCCTGAAACCACAGGTAGTACTGAAACCAAGCACTTCTATACAACATTTCTTAATGCTTGCCTGAGTTGTTGCTTCCCTATTTCTACTGCTACTGATTTCATTTAAATTCTCATTAACTTCCCTAATTATTCCAAAAACCACTGAGCTTTTCCTAACTTAATTCTCTTTTTCTTCTAAATCTATTTTATACACTTCTTCCAGAATACTCTCATTGAAACACAACTCCCTACCTAAAATCTTCTGTTGGCTTCCCATTGTGTACACAATAAAATGTCTTTTTTTTTCTTCTTTTTTTTCTTTTAACTTCTCAATATACATTGTAGTTGATTTTCGTGACTCTTTACCTGTTACTCTGCCCCCCACAGCATATCTGTTCACTTTTCTTAACAAGTTCAAGGAATTGTTGTGATGTGTCTTCTTCCCCACCCCCCCCAAATCCTTATGTCTTAACCTGGTATTCAAGATCTTTTATCATCTGACCTCAGCCTAGTTTTTCAGTTTAATTTTCTACCACTCCCTTTCACTTTATTCCTTATATATCTCCCTGCACTTAAATCATATACCTCTCTGTTATCCAAAATAATGATAATGTCTTCTTTTGTGTACATAAGACATATTATTGATGGTGTGTGTACTTTGGAGATGTTAGCCTCTTCAAGTAAGTCATAGTATATGTATGGTTGTACCATATAATATACATAGTGATAAAGGTAGAACATAAGTCTCTATCTTTTAGAAACCCCAGAGTGATTTTTTTTTCCCCTGGAAGAATTTAAAAATGGACAATATACTAAGGGATACAGTGCTCTGGATATTTCTCCATTAAGCCCTTTGTCATTTAGCTTAGATTTTTATTTCTGTCCTGTGAAATACTTTTTTCTTTATATTTAACTGACCATTATGTTTAATTTCAGGCTCTTGATGGTTTTTTTTTAGCAATCATGACAGATGGAAGCATAATATATGTGTCTGAGAGTATAACTTCATTACTTGAACATTTACCAGTAAGTATAAAAATCCTATAATCTCTTTCTTATTTAATGCCTATTTTAAATGTTCTAAAGCACTAGAAAGTGGACCTTGAGAGCAATGTTGAACAATAGTTAAATGGTGGGGCTGAGAGTTCTAAGTATGTCTTTGTTTTAGCATGGCTGTGTTTTCTCAGGTCAGTCATGAATCTCCATCTGTAGTAACTTCATTCAACTGCCACTATATTCTTCCTGTCTTCTTTATCCTAACATAAAGAAGATGAATATGTTTTATCACTGAGAATATCTTGAGAAGAACTAAATTTCTATTGAGGTACTTGTTGCCTCTAGGAAAGAACTTGTAAATTATTTTCTCGAATGATTTAACTAAAATGACACACTAAAAGCAGTAGACACAACTTTCATGTTATATGACTTGAACTGATAATGTCATAACGGCTATATTCAATTTATTATCAATATGACTGAAAGGGTAGAGAATTAGAAAAGAAGCATATTGTATAATTCTGGTTAGGCTGGTCAACACCTGAACTGTGTGTTTGTTTTTTTACTCAACATGTATATATTGAACAACTACTCTGTGCCAGATACACTGCTAGGTGCTCTGCTATAATTGATGGGTTGTTTTTTAAATGAATTTGCAGTTTTTATTTAATATATAATGTTCTTATCTAAGGTGGGCTTGTGATATAAATATTCTAAAGTTACTTATAAATTACTCTTAAAAAGCCCATCTCTTGAAAATTTATAACAATGCAAAGTAAACTGCTCTGTAAATGTCTCTTTTAAGAGATATTGAAAAGTGGTTTTTCCTTCCCTCTGGTTATTCAGCTACTTCATACTTTGTAAAGAGAATGGACTCTACACTTAAAAGGCCAGACTCTAAAAGGGTAATTTTTTTTTTTTTGGCTGCTGGCCAGTATAGGGACCTGAACCCTTGACCTTGGTGGTACCAGCACTGCACTCTCCCAAGTGAGCTCACCAGCTAGCATAAAAGGGTAATTTCTTACTGAAAGCTAGCCAGTAATTAATTTGCTAATTTCTTTGGTTCACATAGAAAATGACTTGACTTTACTTAGTTTTCTTCGAGAAGCTTTCTTTTCCAGTAAGCTCAAATAGTAGGAGATAAGCCCAACATCTAAAAAATTGAGTCAAGCATAAAGTTATAGCCACATGTAAGTAAACTAGCATGAGCAGAGAAAAGGACAGACTGATTAACTGAATTTTCTGGGCAACTCTTTTTAAAAATATATTTGCATAGCAAGAAAACCCAGGGAAAGAATCCCTTTATATAAAGGATTAAGATATGGTTAAGTAATTGAAAGCAGCTACACTCATTAAATACTTTAAAACCATATATTATTGTATTGGTTTTTCTTTCAGTTGTATATTTATAGAAATTATGTAATCTTTCATCATAATCAGAGCATCATTTACAATGTGTTCACTCTTTTCTTTAGCCTGCTTCTTGGTGCTTTCCTAGAAATCCATTTAAAATGAAATACCTTTGCTCTCCATTTTCCTGTTACCTTATACATACTGCCATCATGACACTTAGAGTGATTTGTAATTTTCTGTTTATTTGTATAGTTATGGTAGTTGTAAGCTTCTTAAAGGCAGGGACTTTATATCAACAGGAGATAGCTAGTTTCTCAGAGAGGTACTCCATGATTATTTATTGAAGGTATGAGAATGAGTAAGCTATTTGATGTAGCATTTTAAAAATATCCCTTCCTAATGGCACACTGGTGGTAAATCTTTAATGAGGGAACTTTTAATTGCATTTTGATTACATATGACAGATCTAATTGGAATCAAATGTTTGATCATTAACATTCCTCCCCTCAATAAAAACTGTCCTCACCTTTCCATTCTCTCTTGGATATTTTTTTGGAAACTTTAAAAATTTTAGAACTATTTTTAGATTTATGGAAAAATCAAGAATATATACAGAGAGTTACTATATGTCCTGTACCCAGTTTCCTCTGTTATTAACATCTTCTGGATTTTTTTGTGTCATCCAAGAAATGTAGACTGGCAGGTGAATTTTTTGGGTAAGGGAGATGGCTGCTGATCCAATAGACCCATTTCGTCCTATACTGAATTAATAGTATACTTTATTAAAAACAGTTTTTGCTGCCCTCCAGTTACTTATGATGCTTTCCTTCATATCACTGACATTGCTGAATTGTATGTTATTTGATGGTTTGAAAACATAAAACAAAAAGCTTGCTTTGAGAAAATTAAATAATCCTTGTTTAGGATCAAACACAATAAGAAAAAAATGTGATTATCTGTTTTAGTTGTCATTAAAAATTAAACTATAACAGGTGCTAAACAAAAGGTTTAAAACAACCGTATCCCTTTCTTGGTGTTTTAATATGCATACCTATTTTGTCTAAAAGAGAATTTTAGCTCTTGCTTAGATTTGCTTAGAAAAAACAGCAAATCCCTAAATTAGGCTTCAGTGTTTATAATTCAGTTCTGTTGAATAATTAAAAGTTGTCATTTAATCAGTGGTCAATGTGACTTAAAATTTTGAATTTAAATTTTAAATCTAACTATAAAATTATAAGACTGATTCTGTAAGCCCCCTGCAAAACCCCATTTTCTTAACTTTGTCACCTCATTTTTGTCACTTTGAAAGTTCAGTAATTTCATAATGAAATTAATTGAAGTACATTTTAACCTAATGTTCCTAAAGGGGTACTTCAGAGTTCATGAAGAGATTTGTATTATCTTTTAATTGTATTTTTCCATGAACTTTTTGAAGTACTCTTATATTTGTGGCTAATAATCAAGTATAAATGCTGTACTCATTTTGAGACTGGAAACAAAATTTATGGAATTTTTTTCTTGCGCTCTGGCTTTCTGTGACAAAAATCATAGGATCATACACTTCAGTGCCAAAAGAGATTTTAGAGATCATTAACCCAGCCCCTTTACATTATCAACATAAAACATAAAGCCCAGAGAAATTGGACTTAATTGTATAACAATTTAGCAGAAGTGCCAGAATGCAAAGGTCAGGTCTCTTACTCTACTGCAAACTTAAAATTTGTAAAATTTTACTACCAAAGGTTGATTTCCTCACACTTGCTTATATGTGTTCTAAGAGAGAGTACTTTAAATTTGTAACCATGTAAATAGGGGAGATGATTAACCATACTACATGTAGTCTAACAGAGCACAGGACTAAAAGTGCCACTATTGAGATACTGGTTGAGCATTTCCTTTTCTACTCTCCTTAACTTGGTAATTTGGAAACATAAAAACCAAGTGTGTTTTGGGAAAGTTAGCTTAGTCTTTGGTATAAAGTGCAGTATGCAAAAATATGATTTAGAATTTTTTGAATAGTTATATGATGGTAGTGAAGGCTTATTTGGTACAGCCAGAATTTTTGTCCCTGATGCGTATAGATAGGAACACAGTTGTTTAAAAATATATTACAGGTTGAGTATCCCTAATCTGAAAATCCCAAATCTGAAATACTCCATAATTTGAAACTTTTTGAGTTCAAAGGAAATGCTCATCGGAACATTTCAGATTTCAGATTTTCGGATTAGGGTGGCTGAACTGGTTAATATAATACAAATATTCCAAAATCCAAAATTCAAAACACTCTGACCCCAAGCATTTCAGATAAGGGATACTCAACCTGTATATCCAAAATATATTTGACATTTTTTCGAAGAAGCTTTCAGTCCTTTTTTAAGCTACTGTTGTCTGTAGGAGTCATTTGTTTAACTGTCAGTTGTTTACCTAAGAGAAAAGATCATTGGTAGTAGTTAATAATTTTCACTAAATGGTATCATTGACCTAATGTAGAAAAGACAGAAAGGCTATTTATTTATGTCATAGAACTAAATCAGCAGGACCTACATTTCTTCTTTGTGAAAATGATTGAGAGAGATAAAAGGATTCAGATAGTACCATTTTCTTTTCTTTCCTTTGAATTATGTTTGAGAACTGAGTGGATGTTGTGTCAACATCAGGTATGATCAGCCCCATTTAGAGATTTTAAGTGTAGTGGTAATGGAAATTTGACACAAAGTGGCAGGAGGAGCAAAGTGGTGGGGAAGCAGTGCTTGTGATCATAGTACTCTCTATACTAACAATTTGTATTCTCTCTATGAATATGAAACATCCTATGAATTTATAGATGGAAAAGCAAAGGTAAAATAGTTCAAATCATAATTTACTGAAGTAATAGTAGAAGAAATTGTCAGTAAGAACAAATAATAGTAGAAAACTATAATCATTCTCAACATGAAAATTTTAGTTATTTCAAATTGGTGTCTTATTTTTTATCAAGACTTTTCTGCATTAATATCAATGCCTATATTTTGATATTTTATTTTATAAAAGTGATTTTCTGACATTTCTGTTATTTGTGCCTGAATTTTCAGTTTATTCCTTCAATTCTTGAGTCTTTTCAGAATTCCAGAGGAATTCTGTATTAAAATACGTATATTGCAAGTGGGGGGAGTTTGGGAACTAGCTGTACATTTCTGCTTAGTTTCTCTGTAAACCTAAAACTGCTATAAAGTCTATTACTTAGAAATAAATAAATTGACAGTGGACTAGGTGGGTGGCAAGCAGCAATAGATCTTATTCTCCTTTGAATACTCAGCACCTGGCCCAGGTGTTAAATAAATGAATGATATTATGTGTTCAATAAAATATTGAGACCTCAAAAAAATATATATATGTATTTCTGGTATGGCTGCCCCTTAAACCGTTATCAAATACCTCCTTAGTCAAAATCATTTACTATACTAGTAACTATTAATGCAAGGCACAGTGTTAATGTGCCTTGATTTGAAAGGAGGAAGGTAAAGGTATCAGTTGATAGGATCCTTTTATTCACTCACCGGGCAACAGGACGTAGACATTGAAATATAACTACAGATACTTGTTATGGTAAATGGGAAATGAATGATATGAATAAGTACTAAAGTAATTTTATTATTTTTATTGTGGATTTTTGTGCTAAGGGAATGCTTGTTTAAAGGAAATCATTTGAACTAGTCTTTGAAAGATGGAGGATACAGACAAGTTGGAGAGATGGGGGAAGGCCTTTCTACTTCATGGGATGGACTTGAAGAGGTAGAGAAAAGACAGAGGAAAGGATGTGAATGTATGGCTTGTATGGAGAGTAGTAAAACACCACTTTCTCATCTCCCACCATCCCCAGAGGCTTTCTTTGTTGTTGTTGTTGTTATTTGTCTTGTTTTTGTTTTTAAGTAGTGGAGCTCTTCAAACAAAATCCTTACAAACATATAAAATACAAACAAAATAAAAGTGAACCTGCTTTGGTTGAATGCAGGGAGAAAGACCCTTAGCCCTGCCTTCACAGCCGCTTTTCACTTCCTCTGCCTTATGCTATCCTTGAGATACCACATCAGTATCCCTAGGATTCCACAGAGCAGTTTGAAAATGTAGAGAAACCAAGTAGAGTGGACTGGATTCAGTAGAAAAGTGGAAAGCACTTAAGTTTTTTTGTCAGTGGTACTTAAGGATAGGAACTGTCTTTGATTCCACAGCTATGGCACATTGTAGGCAACCCGATGTTTGTCAAATTACTGTTGATTAATGAATCAATTAAAGCCATATATTCGCAAGAATAAAATGCTTAACATATTAGTTACCCTTTGGGGGCGAATGGTAAGCTAAAAGTAAGGCACGAAGGGATACAGGATAGATGCCTGGAAAAGATGAAATAAAAAAGAAAGGACACATTGGACAATTGAAATGACACCAAAGTCAAATCTCCTCTTCGTTTGGCCTATGACTAGTCCTTTGTAGTAGTATGTACCACCATCGTTTACATTAGGCTTGAATATATGACAAGGCTATGCTAGTAGCCAGAGATTTTTGTAACTAACTCTCTTAGTCCTGTTATACTTTAAAATGTTTAAATTTGGTGAAACTCAGCTTTACAAGTAATTTATCAAGCTTTCAGGGTCATATTGATCATGGAACTGATGACACTAGTATTAGAGGCATGAGGGTAATATCCTTCTTTCAACTTTTCAATCTTGGTTTTTGAGATGTGGTTTGTAACTTGGCATTTGTTAGTTTTCACAGATAATTGAAAGTTAACCATATGCTCCTTTGTTGTTTAATAGTGATTATACACTTTAGTAATAAATGTCTCTTAAATCATTAAAATTATTTTACTTTTTAACATTTCTTTTTCAGTCTGATCTTGTGGATCAAAGTATATTTAATTTTATCCCAGAGGGGGAACATTCAGAGGTTTATAAAATACTCTCTACTCATCTGCTGGAAAGTGATTCATTAACCCCTGAATATTTAAAATGTAAGTAGTAGCTGTTAAGCAAAAAGTCAAAAGTTGTATTTGGTAGCATTGTCTTTTACTTTTACAAGTTTTTGAAAAACACAGATATGTTTAACTAGATTAACATATAGCATTGTTTTATTTACCCTATTAAGTCCTTTTAAATATTAAAAAAGTATGTAAAATGTAACTATGACTGTATTAGAAGTCTGAAATTTATTCCAGTATATTGAAATTCTGTCCTGTTTGTTATAATAAATTGGGACTACAGTTATTGCCATAAAACTGTATTTTACACAAAAATGGAACCTGGCAATATATTCTTAATTTTTAAATAACATCATCTTGTAGTCAATGGGAGAAAATGAAACATTCTGATTTTCCCCATTGTTAGCCAATTGAGCACCAAAATTGTGGGAAAGATTTTGTATTTCTTTTTAAATTATTAAATGTAAAAATAAATTGCCTAGGGCCGGTCCGGTGGCGCACTGGAGAGTGCGCCACTTGGGAGCGCGGCGGCACTCCCGCCGAGGGTTCGGATCCCATGTGGAGACCGGTTCCCGCTCACTGGCTGAGCGCGGTGCGGGCGCAACACCGAGGGTTGCGATCCCGTTGCCGGTCCCCAGTACGTGGGCGTGACACCGAGGGTTGCGATCCCATTACCGGTCAGTAAAAAAGAGACAAAAAGGAAAAAAAAAAATAAATTGCCTACTTTATTAATTAAGCAGAATTAAACAGTTATTTATTGGCTGTATCGAATGTGCCAGGCACTTGTGCTATATCATAAAAGTGCCAAGAATAGTGAAAAATAGTTTCTGCCGTCAAGAAACCCAAAATGTTAAGGTGTAATTAGACATTTTTACTAGGTTTGTTGGGCTAATTAACTTGACCAGAGCACCTCATTTTCTTTATTACCCTGTATAAAATCCAATATTGTTACAGCACTATATTTGGCCATTAACCGTTAGATAATTTCTTTAACCAATTTTTCATGATTTTTTATTTTGTCTTATCTGGTAATACTGACATTATCATCTTAAAAGTTCTTTGTATTTGAACCCTCAAATTCTATAGCACATTACCTATTTAAAAATTGAGATACACACAAGTTTGTATATATGTATATCTTTGATAAAAATAGATAACCTTTGGGGCGGCCCGGTGGCGCACTGGAGAGTGCGCCGCTTGGGAGCGCGGCGGCGCTCCTGCCGAGGGTTCAGATCCCATGTGGAGACCGGTTCCCGCTCACTGGCTGAGCTCGGTGCGGGCGCAACACCAAGGGTTGTGATCCCGTTACCGGTCAGTAAAAAAGACAAAAAGGCTGGAGAGTGCGCCGCTTGGGAGCGCGGCGGCGCTCCTGCCGAGGGTTCAGATCCCATGTGGAGACCGGTTCCCGCTCACTGGCTGAGCGTGGTGCGGGCGCAATACCGAGGGTTGCGATCCCATTGCTGGTCCCCGGTACGGGCGCGACACTGAGGGTTGCGATCCCGTTACCGGTCAGTAAAAATGACAAAAAGGGAAAAAAAAAAAAAAAAGAATAGATAACCTTTCAGAGGGAGTTGAGAAACACTAGAGACCGGGAGAACTCATTTGAGGCCTCTTTATAACTGTCTTAAAATCCAACTTTGTATGACATTAACCAATAGGCCACTCTCATATGGTACTTAGGAGAAAGATTTGGGCTGGGTATAATAGATGTAAAAGCTAGTTATATACCTTTAAGTGGTATCTGAAGACATGGATTAAATGGCTTTGCTTGAGGTAAATATATAGAACAAGGAGAGAAGAAATAGAAAGGTGGAACCCTTGGAGATAGCAACGGGAGGTCAAAGGAGAAGAAGTTCACTTTAGAGACCCTCATAAGGGTAGAATTAGCAGAACTGAATAAAAGCCTCTGGCAGAAAGGCAGCATTTAGGCTTCTGCTTCTAAGATCAGAGGTGAGGATGGCAACAATATTTTTTGATAGAGGAAAGTCTTAATTTAAATGCCTTGCTGATTCCCTAAACAACTGATACATTAAAAAAGTTCTCCCTCCAGAAAAAAAGTGTTTCATGCCAAAGGAATAAGCATGAGTTAAGATGCAGGAAAATTGCTCAGAAAATTCAGTAGGTTATGTTGGCTATAATGAAGGCGAGGTGGTACAGATGGTGTGATTTGTGTCTAGAGAAGGAAATAGGGGCAGAATTCTAAAGGGCCTAATATTTCATCCTAAGGAGTTTGATTTTTATTTTTTACACAGTGGAGAGCCATTGATGATCTGAGTGATTTTGTAGTCTGGGAAAAAAAAATCACTCGGGTAAATGGTAGATCTGTCTTACTGAGTTTTCTGTTGCTTATAACAGAATACCTAAAATTGAATAATTTATAAAGAAACAGAATTTAATTCTTAAAGTTTTGGAAGCTTTGAAGTCCAAGGTTGAGGGGGCACATCTGGCAACTGCCTTCTTCCTGGTGGGGACCCTGTAGAGTCCCGAGGCAGCTCAGGGCATCACATGTTGAAAGGGCAAGAGTGTGCTCACATACTGGCTTTCTCTCCTTATAAAGCCACCCGTGTACTCTCATAAAAAAATTTTTTTTTTCTTTTTGTCTTTTCTTCGTGACCGGCAACGGATTGCAACCCTCAGTGTCACGCCCATACCGGACCGGGACCGGCAACGGGATCGCAACCCTCGGTGTTGCCCCCGCACCTTGCTCAGCCAGTGAGCGGCCGGTCTGTATGTGGGATCCGAACCCTCGGCGGGAGTGCCGCCACGTGTACTCTCATAATAACCCATTAATCCATGAACCCATTAATCCACAAATGGATTAATCCATTCATGAGGCTGTGTCCTCATGATTCAGTTGCCACTTAAAGGCCTCACCTTTTAAATACCATAGTCGGATTTCCCACCCTCTTAATATTGTTACAATGGGAATTAAATTTCAGACATGAGATTTCCCCATAACAGTCTCTTTGGGGAAGGCTAGAAAGAAAACTTGTAGTAGTAGGATACCTACCCCAAGGTTACCTAGCATCTGCTTCATAAAGAGGCCTTCTGTCTGGGAGTTGAGTGAGGTCGCTTGATTTCTCTGTCATGGTGGCTAAAGTCAGGCTCTGCTCATTTGGTGAGATTTCCTACTACACAAATCAAGTGATAACTTAGTGGAGTTACACATTAGTTTTTTTTTTTTTTTTTTTTTTTTTTTTTTTTGTCCTTTTTGAGACCAGCCGCACTGTGCTTAGCCAGTGAGCGCACCGGTCATCCCTATATAGGATCTGAACCCGCGGCGGGAGCGCTCCCGCGCTCCCAGCGCTGCACCCTCCCGAGTGCACCACAGGCTCGGCCCTACACATTAGTTTTGTTCCTAAGAACCCCAAGATCAGTTAAGTACAACCCAGAGATCTCATGGGTTAGATCATTCCAGTGACCGAGCTGGCCCTGCTGCCTGGTATAGTAACTATGCCCACTTTTCCTGTGATAGATGTCCCACCTCCATGGAGGTTCAGGTCTTCATTGCAGCGGAAGCATCTCTCACCTAAGCGTCTCTGTCCTAGAGAGATTAACAGTTCATTGCTTATAAAAGTTGCTGTCTCTTTCATCATCTGATTTGGGAGATACAGCCCAGGGGGTGGTGGGACTGAAAAAAAAGATCCAGACTGGGGACAGAAAGAAAAAGTGTATAATCTTAGCATAAGAAGTAAGGTTGAGACGAGAGTATATGAGTGTTAAGTAGGTAAACTTGTTAAAACTTGATGTTAGGCACAGGTGACCAGGTGGCTAAGTATCTCAGTGGGGAAAGTTTTGGGAAGAAGACAGTTAGATTTTGAACCTGTTGAGTTAAATGAGAAAGCCCTCTGTCATGATAGTGACAGAAGAGTATGAGCTGGATGTAGTGAGTGAAGAAAGGTGTTACTAGTCCTGAAATAATATGATTAAAGTAGTAGTATTAGTCTAAGGGTAGTAGGCAAGGATGAATCCGAGTGGCAAGAGTGTGGAGGCATAATGAATAAATTTTGCAGTTACCTGAATGCACGGTAATTTGCAGCTGCATTAAATTGGGTATACTGGGTGCTCAGTTAGAAAAAATGACTTATGAGAGCTTTCTTGGGAAATAAATAGCAGGTCCTGGTAACAGATTTGTTTTGGGACTTGTGATGGAAAGAGAGGGGAGACCAAATTGATACGGTTTCTAACTTGAGAAATAATCATACATAGGATAAAGTCAGGGGTGTGAGGGGAGAGCTGACTTAGGAAGAAAGAGGGATAAATTTACTTTCAAATATTTTGAGTTTAAGTTACTGATGGGACAATCGAGTGGAAATGTTCTGAAAGCAAATAGTGATATGAGACATTGTTTTACCTAAAATATTACAGTTGAGGAGAGAGATTTAGTAGTAAATAAGCTTACAAAGTTCAGTCATTTTAACCTTTGTGGAAGCCCCTAGTTTGAAAATGGATTAGTAGCAGAGACAGGAATAGTCAATAAGGTAGAAAGGTAAGTTCATGCTATGGGAGTGATGGAAGAGTGAGTTTTCAGAAGAGGTAGAAACAATGAGGAAAACCCATTGAAGTCGACCATACAAATATTAGTTATCTTTAAAAGAGTAGTCGCTGTAGAGGTGTGAGTGCATGAAGTTAAGAGAATTTAATGTATAGAAACTGGAGCACATAATAAAAAGGAAGGAGATCTGTGATACTAAAAAATTAGCATGAAAAACCCTTTGTTTGAGATGAGAAGACCTGAGCAAATTTAAAAGTAGAAAGTAAGGACCTAAAGAAGGAAAGGAATGAATAACAGTAGTGTGACCCTGGTCCTAGAGAACATAGGAGATTGTTGAAGGTAGAGATGGAAGCATTAGCTTTAGAATGGGAAGAAAAATCTTTCTTTGAATTTAGTGTGAAGAATGAGAAGGAAGGGCAGATAAAAATGGGGAAACATAAAGTTGCTTTTATCAGAAGATTTGTTTTCTCTGTGAAGGACAAGGTGAGGTCATCTCCAAAGAGTATTTTTATAGACTAAAATGTCATTGAGGACTTCTTTTGGAGAAAATAATGGTTGTAAAACATATCTTTTATCATCTTATTTCATGTGATACATCATTCATTGTGATATATGACAAATACATGATTTTTATCTCCTGTTTCAGCAAAAAATCAATTAGAATTCTGTTGTCATATGCTTCGAGGAACAATAGACCCAAAGGAGCCATCTACCTATGAATACGTAAAATTTATAGGAAATTTTAAATCTTTAAACAGTGGTGAGTTAAAATGCTTCCCTTGCAACGTATTTTAACTTGGTGTTTTTCTAAGCTCTTAAACACATAGCTGTTTGAATATCAGTAACATCTAGGTTTTACTGGAGTAACTAATGATACATATTTCCTCATTCTTTTAGTATCCACTTCAGCACACAATGGTTTTGAAGGAACTATACAACGCACACATAGGCCTTCTTATGAAGATAGAGTTTGTTTTGTAGCTACTGTCAGGTTAGCTACACCTCAGTTCATCAAGGTATGTTTCTAGTTTTGTTTTCCAAAGGGGATTTCAGTTCATATTATGAGAATTGTCTTTATATAATTTTTTGTTGCCTCCAGAATGACTGAAACTTTCTGCCAACATTGAAGTAGTAATGGCTGTGAGTCATTAAATATGCATGATCATAATATTTTTGAAATAGTTATCAAGGCACTTATTAGATTAGATTACTAATTTTTAAAATGTATATTCTTTTTAGTTAGCTAGTGGTTATATATCACCATTGCCTTACTTTTATGCAGAATTTTAGGATGTTTTTGCATGTAGTTCACTACCTTCATTAAAAGGGAAAGTCCAAAAATTTGTAATTTTTAAAAGATTGTTTTTGAAATTTTCTTTTGAAATGTACAAATGGCTTTTAACTGTATATAATTTGCCTTCTCAATTTTAAAATTTTATTAGATAATTTATTTTTATTTCCTGGGCCCAACAAGCAAGTGATTAGTAGAAAAGTGGAGAAGTGAAATAAGTAGTTCAACCACTAGAAAGTAGCTGAAAAGAAGAAGCCAGGTTAAGATTTAAAATTTAAGGAGACACCATAGTATAGGAAAGAGTGCTGAATTAGCACTTAGAAAATCTTAAACCAGTCTTGCTCTTGATCTTAGGAAATAATAGCAGTGGCTAACATTTGAGTGCTTACCACATGTATATACTTCACATGCATTGTCACATTTAATTCTTATGACTCTATGAGACAGATGCTGTTATGATCCCCACTTTATGTATATAAAGAAACTGAAGCTTAGGGACATTAAGTTACTTGCCCAAAGTCTCAGCTGTGAAGTGATAGAACTGGGACTTGATTCTAACTTCTTTTTCTCTCAAAGCCCAAGCTCATAACTAGTACATTTGTTCTGTGGAAGACCATTCAAGGACATAGCCTCAGGTTGTAATACATTGTTCAGAATGATTGGAGTCTAGGGTTACTGTGTGAGGGGAGTAGGGATAGTGGGAGGTAAGGTCAGAAAAGTAAGCAGAGGCCAGAAATCAAATTTGTTTTTTTCTTTGTTTATTTCTCTATGCTGAAGAGATTTTTTTTTTTTTTTTGTCTTTTTCATGACCGGTAAGGGGATCACAACCCTTGGTGTGGTGTCACCCACACCGTGCTCAGCCAGCGAGCACACCGGCCATTCCCGTATAGGATCCGAACCCGCGGCGGGAGCGTCGCTGCGCTCCCAGCGCCTCACTCTCCCGAGTGCGCCACGGGGCCGGCCCCATGCTGAAGAGATTTTAACATGAGGAACCACTGAAAGTTTTTAAGCAGAGAAAGTATATAATCATATTTGAGTGTTAGAAGGTAGTTGTGGTCCCAGAATAGAAGATGAATTGAAGGACAGGGAGACTGGTGAGATGCCATAGCAATAATGTGAATCAATGTTGACAGGGGTCTAAACTAAGGCACTGAAGATGGATGGAATGGGATAGGTTTTTTAAATATTTAGAAGGTGAAATTGGAAGGGTTTATTAGTGGCCACGTAAATGATGAAAGGTAAAAACAAGAGTGTGTTGTGACTATCAGATTTCTGGACTGTACCATTACACAGGTATGTGTCCATGAATGAGATGGCAAATTGTGTAACTGGGTTTGAGAAGTAAGGCAATTTGTTCATTTTAGGACATACTGAGTTTGAGATGTGTAAGGACATCCAAACAGTTATAAAAATGAAGCTTTAATTCAGGAGAGAGTCTGAATTCAGAATTAGTGTTTATAGGCATGTGAGTGAATGGATAATATGTAGATTGAGAAGTACTCACCCAGAGGCCTGCATCTGAGAGTTATTTGTTGCCACATTCTTTAGTACTAGAAAATTAAAACATGTTAAAAATTGGGTTAGGGAAAAGTTATCTAATAATGACTTTCATGTCTAGCAATATTTAAGATTCTTTTAAAGATATAGGAAAGTATAAATTTTAATTATTAATTTATTTGTAGGAAATGTGTACTGTTGAAGAACCCAATGAAGAATTTACATCTAGACATAGTTTAGAATGGAAGTTTCTATTTCTAGATCACAGGTAATTACATTTTTAAATTCCATAAAAAGATAATAGTCATAATTCTTGAAATTAATGGATTTCAGGGATAAACTTTTTTTCTAATCAGGACTTTCAAATCTGTTATCTTTTTTTCAAAAAATAAAGCCCCCAAAATTGATTTCTAGTTGAAGTATTTCTTATTATGAAAAGTCATATTGATTGTTTTATATGTAATTTAGGGCACCACCCATAATAGGATATTTGCCTTTTGAAGTTCTGGGAACATCAGGCTATGATTACTATCATGTGGATGACCTAGAAAATTTGGCAAAATGTCATGAGCACTGTAAGTAGATTTTAATAACTTTTAAAATCTTATAAACAGAAATTCTGTTCTGTTAATGGAATTTATAATTATTTTTGTATTTTTGAAATGTACTGGAAGATTTTACTCTCTCTATATAACCAATCTAGTAGGAATCATAGATCAAGTTTAAATTAAACTTGTTTTACATATTTCAATTTATAATAGTAAGTGCAGTTTTATAATGTGGCATCTAATACACGTTCTGATGTGTATAAACTCTATATCTGGAGTAAGAGAAGTAGATTCCTTTGAAAATTGCAATACTATACTAAACTATTGGAATACTATTTTATAAATTTTGATTTCCAGTCGTATAAATCTTTCCAGGAGGTAGGTACACATTTGGAGAATCTGTTTGAGAAAGCTCATAGTAAGTACTGGGTGTTACCTGGCATTCATTATTGTTAGCAGCAAGAGCATTATTGTCCCATTGTGCCAGGAGCTGTTTTAAACACTTAATGTATATTATCCCCATTATTCTTTACCACAGTCCTGGAAGGTAGCTACCAGTATTACCACCATGAACGTATTAGTCCATTTTGTTGCTTATAACAAAATACTTGCAACTGGGTGATTTATAAAGAAAACAAAATTTATTGCTTACAGTTTCTGAGACTGGGAAGTCCAGTGTCCATTTTGTGTTGATGTCAGTGACCCAGGGGTCTCACATTGCAAAATGATGGAAGCAGAGAGAGCAGAGAAAGAAAGACAGACTTTCCTCTCTCTCCTTTTAAAGCCCTCAGAACCATGCCCCTGACCACCATTTTTAATCCATTCACTACTGCACAGTCTTACAATCCTTTCAATTACCATAATAGGATTTCCCACCCTCTTAACAGTTACAGTGGGGGCTAAGTTTCTAATACATAAAACTTGGGGGACACAATTCAAGCTTCAGTGAGTTTTGGGGGACATAATTCAATCCACTACAGTGAGTAAATTGAGACACAGTAAAGCTCAGTAACTCACCCACAATCCCAAAGCTAGTCTTTGTTTATGAAGTTTGTTTTAATGATAGGTTTTATTTGCTTCTCTGATATTCCCCCCAAATCCTACCTTCTTGGTGTTCTATAAAGCTTAATTAGGTAAAGTACTTTTCATGATATCTTATGCTGCTCTAATAAACCTCTCTATATGAAAATAAACCATGTTATATGAGGGGTCTTCAAAAAATTCATGGAAAGATTCGTATTATCTTTTAATTCTGTTTTTCCATGAATTTCTTGAAATACCCTCATATAATGGCATTAACTATATGGAAAGTTTTCAGAGTAAAGTTATTTCAGCACAAAATAAAACATTCACTAAGTGATGTAGGCACTAAGCACCATGATGTAGTGAAGACTTGACACATCTGTTAACTAGCTGGGTAACTTCAGATAAGCGATTTAATGTTTGTAGACCTTGGCTCCTTCTTGAGAGAGAAAGAGAAAAAGAGAGAGAGATGCCTGACCAGCATTTCCTAAGGTTTGTTCCACTTAATGCTAATCCATTAAGAAAACAACTTTATAGTTAAGGAAAACTGGGAAGCGCTTCATAATCTCTCTCTCTCTCAGAGAATCTTTGCATGCATTAGCATACTTAAGGTTTGAGAAGACTAAAGAAACCTATTTAACAAAAAGTTCCCCAAATTAATTTAATCACAAACCCATTTTTTGTTTAACATTTGTTAAAAGACTTCAAAACTTAAGATCTATAGAGCATACTTTAGGAAATACTGCTCTTAACAGCTACTTCAAACAGTGAAGTTATTCTGATTTTAGTTAGCTAAGGTTTAAAATTAAATGCCTCAAAGATGCTGTATCTGCCAGAGTATCTGTGGGGAAAAAAAACTCAAGTGTGATTACTTATTGTTGTTACTCTTGGTGTGTCTAGGTGGGAGAAAGTGAACAGTGTGAATTATTGAGTATTTGGAAGTTTATTGTGTCTGGAAACTCTAAAAGGTGGGCAATAACTGGCTATAAGTTGGACACGGTGTAAAATCTGATAATTGATTGGGACCCTAAGCTAGCTTTAAAAAAATAGCATTTTTTTTATAATTGATATATGTGATATTGAAAAGCCAGTAAAAGATTTGTATATGTAGATTTAAATGTAAATGATAGCTTTTGGTTAAAAAACAGATTCTTTATAACTAATAATATGGATCAAAGAAAAAATAATTTTCTCTTTTATTTTTAGTAATGCAGTATGGGAAAGGCAAGTCATGTTATTATAGGTTCCTGACCAAAGGGCAGCAGTGGATTTGGCTTCAAACTCATTATTATATCACTTATCATCAGTGGAATTCAAGACCAGAGTTTATTGTTTGTACTCACACTGTAGTAAGGTAATGATTCTTAAAGAGAATTTCTGAATCATAACAACATTCTATAATGATTTTGGCAATGTAATTTTTATTCATGACTTGTTAGTGAACTACAAAGTGATCTTTTTCCAATTTTTAGTACATCCTCTTAATGCATTATTAAATTTACATACAACCATTGTATAGAAATATAATATAGGTATTATATAGATACAGAGTGTGTATCCCTTATCTGAAATGCATGAGACCAGAAGTGTTTTGGATTTGGGATTTTTTTGAATTTTGGAATATTTGCAGAATACATACTAATTGAGCATCCCTAATCTGAAAATGTGAAATCTGAAATGCTCCAATGAGCATTTCCTTTGAGTGTCATGTCAGTGCTCAAAAAGTTTCAGATTTTCAAGCATTTTGGATTTCAGATTTTCAGATTAGAGATGCTCTGTTTATAATGCTTGACATAAATTTTGTGTTTTATAGCAGATAAGTGTAACTGTCACTTATGTACCATAGTCAGTTATGTAAAAGGAAGATTGGCGTGGAAAGCATACTCTTGCTTTATTTATTTCCTCTTAATTTAAGTACTGTGTTGTTATGGATCATTTATAGTAGCATATAAAATTTTGAGATACTTAGAAAAATGCAAATTGAATTAGGACAGTGCACTATAGATATATTTTAGGTTTGTGTAGTACTTAGAAAATAGTCTAGAGTTAGTGATGAACAAGTGAGACACATAATAAACACTGAATTGTAGCAATTCTCCAGTATTTTAAATAAACAACCAAACACTAAAATTTGATTTTTTTTCCATTTGTAGTTATGCAGAAGTTAGGGCTGAAAGGCGACGAGAACTTGGCATTGAAGAGTCTCTTCCTGAGACAGCTGCTGACAAAGTATGTTTCTTATAGTTTTTAAAAAATTATTTAATTTCTTCCCAATGAAAGGTGAGACTCAGTAATTGCCAGAAAAATTATATTATTACTTCACTTGTGACAGGGATATGATTATACTTTACTATTTACTTTTATTTTTAATTTAATATTTTAACATCTTCTGAAAGGAAATTGAAGGTCCTCCCACTTAGCAAGAGTTGGGTGAGAGATTAAAACTACCATTTATCATTTGCCTATGATATTTTTATGTGAATTATGAGATGCTATTTACTCCTTAGACATCCTCATCTGGTAGATAATATCCCCACTTTGAAAATACTGAGACTGACGTTTCAAGGAGGAGAAAAACTTCCCCTAAAGTCATGTGGCCAGAAAATCAAAGTCAGAATTTGAATTTTGGTTTCTTTTTTTGTTAGATCAGGTAGAAGTATAGTGTATTAGTTATCTATTGATGCAAAGCAAATTACTCCAAAACTTGGTGATGTAAAACTACACACATTTATTATCTCATAGTTTATGTGGGACAAAAATCAAGGCATGGTTTAGCAGGACCCTCTGTTTCAGGATCTGTCTTGAGTCTGTAGCCAGGGTGTCAGTGGGGATGCAGTCATTCAGCTCAAGGTTTAATGGAGGCAGGATCTATTTCTACCTCACACAGTGGTTGTTGGCACCATTCAGCTCCTCATGGACAGTTGAACTGAGGGCCTTGGTTCCTTGCTGGCTGCTGGCCAGAGGCCACCCTCATTTTCCTTTTAGGTGACTCCATCAGAGCAATCATACAAGAAGATTTAGGGAGAGAATATTCCAGCAAGATGGAAGTCACAGTCTTTTGTAACCTAATCACAGAAGCGATATCCCATCACTTTGCTCTATTCTGTGCATTTGAGAATGTGATAGGTTCATCCTTCACTCAATGGGATTATATAAGGGCATGAATACCAGGAAGTAGGAATTGTTGAGAGTCATGTTGGAGGTTGCCTACCACAAGTATTTTTTTTTTTTTTGTCTTTTTTTTACTGACCGGTAATGGGATCGCAACCCTCAGTGTCGCGCCCGCACCATGCTCAGCCAGTGAGCGGGAACCGGTCTCCACATGGGATCCGAACCCTCAGCGGGAGCGCCGCCACGCTCCCAAGCGGCGCACTCTCCAGTGCGCCACCGGTCCGGCCCCTACCACAAGTATTTTTAACCTGCGGAAAATAGGTGGAATGAAAAGAGTCAAGATTCTATATAAAATGTTAAATAGGCAGCATTCCAGGGGTCAGTATGCGGAACATCATTTAGTCAGTTATTCAACAAACCTTAGTAACTTCTGTGTCCCGGGCATGGCTCTAGATGCTGAGAAAACAGCAGTGAATAACACAAGTCCCCAGCTTTCATGGATCCCACATGAAAGAACTTTTCCAAAGGGGCTGTATTAGTCCGTTTGTGTTGCTATAACAGAATACCTGAGACTGGGTAATTTATAAAGAACAGAGGTTTATTTGGCTTATGATTCTGGGACAGTTGCATCTGGTGTGGGCCTCAGGCTGCTTCTACTCACCATGGAAAGTGGCAGGCAGCTGGCGGGTACAAGCAGATTACATGGCGAGAGGAAGCAAGAGACAGAGAGAGGGGAGGTGCAGAGTCTTTTAAACAACCAGCTCTCGCAGAAACTAATAGAGTGAGAACTCACTCAGTCCCCCCTCCCCCAGGAAGAGCATTAATCCATTCATGAGATCCGCCCCCATAACTTAAACCACCACACTAGGGATCAAATTTCCATATGAGTTCCGGGAGGACGATACATCCAAACTCCATCAGGGGCTTTGTATGTTTAGAAGAAGAGGACCCAGTGTATTTTAGTAAAAGAAATTATTTTCTGAGAAAAATGCTTAAAGTCTAGGGTTTCTTGATGGGGGACCATTATAAAAACTGAAGTAATATGGAGATTGTTCATCCCTGTTTCTTTTTTTTCCCCCTTATGCCAGTATACAATCTTAGTAAGTTCAGTTAGCCCTACTTCCAAAATACACTCCAAGTATGTCTGTTTTCTCACCATTTTTACTACCACTGCTATGATCCACTTTAGGATCATCTGAGATATTTTTGAGAAACTTTAATGTATGGATGATTTCAAAGTAATAAATCTTGACAGGATCACCAAGGGAATGGTATAGATAGAGAAGAGATGATGACTAGGACTAAGCCTTAGGGCGCTCTAATATTAAGAGGTGAGGGAAACAAGGAAGAATGAACCACAGAGGAGACCAGGGAGGAATAGCTAATGAGGTAGGAATAAAATGAGGAAACTAAACTAAGTTGTCCTGGAAGACAAGGAAAGAAAGTGTGTTAGTGAGGAGAGAATGATCAGCTTTGTCAGATTCAGCAGGAGACAGAGGTTTAAGAACAGTGGGAAAAGTGTGGAATGATTGTGAAGAGTAGGAAGGTGAGTGTGCCAGAAAAACTTAACAATGGTGCTGCCTAGTTTTGAGTGTTTATTTGAGGTTGATTATCATTTTAGGTTGTCTAAAACTGTTTTCAAAGGGATCCTTGAGCAAGTGAGCCAGAAGAATAGGAAAGGATTGTTTAAAGTGGCATTTTAATTTGTACTTTGAGAAGTACTACAGTGTCTGATGATGATGGTAAGGTTCAGAGATTGAATGACTGAGGTAGGGTTAGGAAAAAGATTACTGGTGATGAGAAAGCTGAGAGGCCAGGATAGGACTGGATGATTCATCCTTTTGGATATTGAAATTGTGGAGAGAGGTCAGAATTGGAGTGAAGAAGATTTTGAGTAGTCAAATACTGAGTTCCAAAGGTGCTACATTATCTTTTATATGAACTAAAGTGTCATCTTTATTCTATTATTTATTTACCCTTTTTTATTTATTTTATTTTTATTTATTTTTTATTGATATCAAAGACCTATCTTGTAATAAAATGTAAATCTATAAAGTGGATTCTTTTTTTTTCCTAGTTAAGACTTGGGTTTATTTGTTTACTTATTTATTTATTTTTATGTTTGGCCACAAAACAAGTCTTAACACATTTAAAAACACTAAGATCATGGAAAATATGTTCTCTGATCACAATAACAGAAGGAAAATTAGAAAATTCACAAACGTGTGGAAATTAAACAACACTCTCCTAAATAAACAATGGGTAAAAAGAAAAATCATGGGGAAATTAGAGAGTGCTTTGAAATAAAAGGCAAAGTACAACATATCAAAATTTATAGGATGTATGTAGGGCTTATGTCATGCTTAGAGGAAAATTTATACTTGTAAACACCTGTATTAAAAATAAGAATAATCCCAAATCAGTAATGTAAACTTCTACCTTAGGAATATAGAAAAAGAAGAGCAAACTAAACCAAAAGCCTATATAAGTAGGAAAGAACAAAGATTACAACAGAAACATATGAAATAGGGGGAAAAAAACAATAGAGTAAATCAACAAAACCAGAAGTTGATTCTTTAAAAAGATCGACAAAATTTGCAAGTCTTTATCTAGAATGACCAAGAAAAAAAGAGAGAAGACCAAAGCTACTAAAATCAGAAATAAAGCAGGGACATTATTACACTGTCATTATGGTTTGTTGTGGTGGTAAGATTTAGTTTCTTTCTCTTTCTCATTTGCATTTTTGTTCCACCAGTGGGTTTGTTCTTTCTTGTGTATTCATGGTAGTGATTATCATTTTTCAGGTTCCAGATGCAGAACTTCCTTGAGGATTTCTTGTAGGGGCTGGTCATGTGGTGGTGAACTCTCACAGTTTTGTTTGTCTGGAAAATACACTAGTTTTCCCTCATTTCTGAAGGCTAGGCTTGCTGGGTATAGTATTCTTGGCTGGCATTTTTTTTTTACTCTTAGTATTTTGAATATATCATCCCATTTTCCTCTGACCTGTAGAGTTTCTGTTGAGAAGTCCACTGTTAGTCTGATAGGGGCTCCCTTGTAGATGACATACTGCTTTTCTCTTGCTTCTTTTAAGATTCTCTCTTTGTCTTTGAGCTTCACCAGTTTGTCTTGGAGAGGATCTTTTTGGGTTGAATCTGTTTGGGGATCTTTGAGCCTCCTGGATCTGAATGTCCATGTCTCTCCCTGTACCTGGAAAGTCTTCCATTATCATTTCATTGAATAGGTTTTCCTTGCCTTTTCCTTTCTCCTCCTCTTCTGGAACACTTGTGGTTTGGATGTTTGTGTGCTTAAGGTTATCTGCTAGCTCTTTTAGATTTTCTTCATTTAAAAAAATTCTTTTGTCCTTTTTGTTTCCCTGCCAGGGTTATTTCAAAAAGACTATCTTCAAGATCAAAAATTCTTTCTTCTGCTTGTTCTAGCCTGCTGCTTAAACTTTCAGTTATGTTTTTTATTTTGTTGAGTGAATCTTTCAGTTCCAGGAGTTCTGCTACATTCTTTTTTAAGGTGTTAATCTCTTTGTAAATTTCCTCCTTCATATCCTGGATTTTCTTTTTCTCAATTCATTATGTTAATTGAGTCTTCTGATATCTCACTGAGTTTCCTTAAGATTGTTGCTTGGAATTACTTTTCAGTCATTTCAAGGGTTTCCTGCTGTGTAGGATCTGGTGTTTGAGAATCACTGTATTCTTTTGGTGGTATCATATTTTCTTGTGTTTTCGTATTTCTAGTATCTCTATGTTGATGTCTCGTCATCTGGTAGAGCAGTTACTTCTTCTATTACTCTGGAATGGGCTATAAGTTGAGAGACATCCTCTTCTTTTTCTAGTCTCCACTGGTGGCTCTCCCAGTGTCAGTGCAGTTGAGTGTCTGGTGGGCTGCTGGCACGGTGGCTGTGGCCACTGCTGTGACATTGAGCCTCTTTTGTGGCAGCTATGGTGGACCACCCCCCATAGAAATAGTGTTTTCACTGTACTCTTTGCTTGCTTCTGGGCAGAGGGGGCTGCCCTCAGCTCCTTCCTAGGACCCTGGGCATTGCTCTCTTTCCTGCTTCCAGATAGAGAGGGCTGCCTTTGGCTCTTCTACACTTTTTTTTTAGTGTGGTAAAATACACATAATGTAACATTTCCCATTTTAATGATTTTAAGGGTACAGTCTAGTGTCATTAAGTACATTCACACTTTTCTACAACCATCACTACCAGAACTTTTTCATCTTTCCAAACTGAAACTCCATACCCATTAAACAACTCCTCATTCCCCTTTTCCCCTTCGGTGGTTGTCCTTTTCAGCCATCATTCTACTGGGTGTCTCTATGAATTTGGCTACTCTAAGTACCACTTTTAAGTGGAATCATATAGTATTTGTCCTTTTGTGACTGGCTTATTTCACTTAGTATAATGTTCTCAGTGTTCATACATGTTGTAACATGTATCAGAATTTCTTTCCTTTTTAATGCTGAATAATATCCCATTGTATGGATATATCACATTTTGTGTATCCGTTCATCTGTCAATGGATACTTGGTTTGCTTTGACCTTTTGGCTATTGTGAGTAATGCTGCTGTGAACATGGGTGTACAGGTATCTGTTTGAGTTCCTACTTTCATTTCTTTTGAGAATATGCAGGCATACTTCCTTTTATTATATTTTGCTCTTTTGCATGTCACAGATATTACATGTTTTACAAATTGAAGATTTGTGGCCACCTTGCATTGAGCAAGTCCATTGGTGCCATTTTTCCAACAGCATGTGCTCACTCATGTCTCTCTGTCACAGTTTGGTAATTCATTATATCTGTTACGGTGATATGTGATCAGAGATCTTTGATGTTCCTATTATAATTGTTTTGGGATGCCATGAACCACACCCATAAAAGATGCGAACTTAATTGATAAACGTGTGTGTTCTGACTGCTCCACCAACCAGCTGTTCTTCTGTCTCTCTCCCTCTCCTCTGGCCTCCCTATTCCCTGAGACACAATAATATTGAAATTAAGTCAGTTAATAATCCCACAATGGTTTCTAAGTGTTCAAGTGAAAGGAAGAGTCACACATCTCTCACTTTAAATCAAAAGCTAGAAATGATTAAGCTTAGTGAGGAAGTCATGTTGAAAGCTGAGACAGGCCAAAAGCTACACCTCTTGCACTAACCAGTCAGCCAAGTTATGAACGCAAAAGAAAAGTTCTTGAAAGAAATTAAATGAACTCATTAAGAAAAGTTCCTGAAGGAAATTAAATGAAGTCAAGAATGATAAAATAACAAAACAGCCGTATTGCTGATACAGAGAAAGTTTTAGTGGTCTGGGTAGAAGATCAAACCAGCCACAGCAACCCCTTAAGCCAAAGCCTACTCCAGAGCAAGTCCCTAACTCTCTTCTGAAGGCTAAAAGAGGTGAGGAAGCTGCAGAAGAAAAGTTTAAAGCTAGCAGAGGTTGACTCATGAGGTTGGAGGAAAGAAGCCATCTCCATAACATAAAAGCAAAAAGTGAAGCAGCAAGTGCTGATGTAGAAGCTGTAGCAACTTATCCAGAAGGTCTAGCTAAGATCACTGATGAAAGTGGCTACATAAATAACAGGTTTTCAACATAGACAAAACAGCCTTAATTGGAAGAAGATGCCATCTAGGACTTTGATAGCTAGAGAGGAGAAGTCAGTGCCTGGCTTCAAAGGACTCTCTTGTTAGGGGCTTATGCATCTGGTTGGTTACTTTAAGTTGTAGCCAGTGCTCATTTACCATTCCAAAAATCACAGGACCCTTAAGAATTGTGCTAAATCTACTCCACCTCTGCTCTGTAAATGGAATAACAAACCCTGAGTGTATTTACAGCATGGTTTACTGAATATTTTAAACCCACTGTTGAAACCAATTGCCCAGAAAAAAAGATTCTTATCAAAAAAATTACTGCTCATTGACAATGTACCTGCTCACCCAAGAGCTCTGATGAAGATGTGCAGGAGACTAATGTTTTCATGCTTGCTAACACAACATCTGTTCTGCAGCCCATGGATCAAGGAGTAATTTTGACTTTCAAGTCTTATTATTTAAGAAATACATTTCATAAGGCTATAGCTGTCATAAGCTATGATTCGTCTGATGGATCTGAAGAACGTAAATTGAAAACCTTCTGAAAAACATTTACCATTTTAGATGCCATTAAGAACATTTGTAATTCATGGGAGTTGAAAATACCAAAAGTAACAGGAATTTGGAAGCAGTTGATTTCAAACCTCATGGATGACTTTGAGGGGTTTAAGACTTTAGTGGAGGAAGTAACTGCAGATGTGGTAGAAATAGCAAGAGAGCTAGAATTAGGAGTGGAGCCTAAAGATGTGACTGAATTGCTTTGATCTCATGATAAAACTCAAACAGATGAGGAGTTGCTTCTTATGAATGAGCAAAGAAAGTGATTTCTTGAGATGGAATCTATTCCTTGTAAAGATGCTGTGAAATTAATGAGGTGACAAAGGATTTAGAATATTGTATTAACTTAGTTGGTAAAGCAGCAGCAAGGTTTGAGAGGACCAACTCCAATTTTGAAAGAAGTTCTAATGTGGGTAAAATGCTGTCAACATCACAAGCTACAGAGAAATCTTTCATGAAAGGAAGAGTTGATCAATATGGCAAACTTCATTGTTGTCTTATTTTAAGAAATTGCCACAGCCACACCAAACTTCAGCAACCACCTCCCTGATCAGTCAGCAGCCATCAACATTGAGGCAACATCCTCTAGTAGCAAAAAATTATGACTCACCAAAGGCTCAGATGATCGTTAGCATTTTTTAGCAATATGGTATTTTTAATTAAGGTATGTACATTGGTTTTTTTAGACATAATGCTATTACACACTTAATAGACTACAGTATAGTATAAACATTTATATGCACTGGGAAACCAAAAAATTTATGTGACTTGCTTTATTGGGATATTTGCTTTATTGCCATGGTCTAGAAGTGAACCTGTAGTATCTTCAACGTATGCCTGCACCCAGAATTGAAATTGCTGGATCATATAATAATTTTCTGTTTAGTTTTTTGAGTAACTGTTATATTGTTTTCTATAGTGGCTGTACCACTTTTACATTCCCATCAGCAGTGCACAAGGATTCCAGTTTCTCTACGTTGTTGCCAACACTGGTTATTTTCTGTTTTTTGATTTTTTTTTTCTCTCAATAATATCCATGCTAGTGGGTGTAATGTGGTACCTCATTGTGGTTTTCATTTGCATTTCCCTAATGATTAATGATGTTGAGCATCTTTTCATATGCTTATTAGCCACTTGTGTGTCTTTTTTTGGAGAAATGTTGGCTTTTTGAAAGTTTTTTTAGTTTCTTATCTTTAGGAAGACTTGCATAGTTGTCATTAAATTAGTAACTATTTTTACGTTTAAAGTTTTTCTATTTCAAATGTTTTTTTTGGTCCTTAAAAAAAGATGGAAGGAATTATAGTGAATCATCTTATTGTCATGTACTTCATTTTTATTGAATGATTTAGAAAAATAGCTCAAAAACCATTTTTATTCACTGAAATGCATTTTGAGATTAATATTAGAAAATTCTTTTTTATAAAGTACTAATACTATTTTCTTTTTGTTGACTAACTTTAGCAACACCAACAAAGATTCCAGTGGATACTAGCACTCCTCCCAGACAGCATTTACCAGCTCATGAAAAGATGGCACAAAGGAGGTCATCATTTAGTAGTCAGGTAATCTCTTTAGTTAATATTCTTCTGAATAAAGTTTTATTAAAAGGGGAAAATTATCTAAATCTTCAGAAATTTATTATCTTTCTATAAAGATCAAAATAACTGTTAATATATGACAGTCAAGGTCTTTATTTGTGTGAAGCCACATATATAATTCCTTTTAACAATTTCAGGTAAAACATTAGATTTTTTTTCAGTTGTGAAAAGCTAATAATTGAGAGTCATTCTATATCTAAGTTCAAATGCCAATTGCCTTCATTTAAGTCAGCCAACTTTTATTGAAAGCTCGTGCAAGGTACTGTGTAGCAAGGGCCTTGGAAGATAAAAGATAAATAGGGAACAGACCTTTCCAGAGTGAAGGGGAAGGACATACCTGTACTCAACTAACAAGAGTTTGAGGCAAATTGTAAGTTCAGTGCTAGACATATCATGTTGATATTTCTGGTGGAAGTACTTATGTATGGGATTGAGTGTCACTTCTGTGTTATTTTTTATTTTGCTTCTAGTCCATAAATTCCCAGTCTGTTGGTTCATCATTAACACAGCCAGTGATGTCTCAAACTACAAATTTACCAATTCCACAAGGCATGTCCCAGGTATTTTTTTGTTTGTTTGTTTCAGTTGAGTATTTTAAAATGATAAATTGCTTTTAAGCTAATAAAGTTTTTCAAAATATAAATGCAGTGAATCTCAACTGGGGCCATTTAGAATATCTGGGGACATTTTTGATTGTTATGATTGTGGGATACCATTGGCCCTTAGTGGGCAGAGGCCAGGGATGCTAAATGTCTTTTAGGATGCATGACAGTCTTGCACGACAAAGAATTGTCCTTCTTAATATGCTGTAATGTTCCCCTCCCCCTCATTAAGAAATAGTATAGACATAAAGATGTTAAAGATGAAATGTAGCTGTTTATTTTGTTCTTCCTATGAATATTTGAAGAATGGAGTAACTTTATTCATATATTTATTCATTTGTTCATATATGGCATATTTATTGAGTTCCTTGTATGTAACAGATATTGCAGGTACTAACAATACAAATATATAACATATATTAACAACAATACCATGTTATATAGTCTATGCTCAAAATATATAGGCTTATGTATGAGCTTATTGCATGACCCTAAATGTAGCCTGAGAAAATGAAGGAAAACTTTCTAGGAAAATTTGTTATCCAGCCTGAGTCTGAAAGGAGGCCTAAATATAGAAATTAGCAAGACAAAGGAGAGTAAATTCCATAAGTGACACTATGTTACTCTTGATCATAACTTCCCAACTTGTAATTTATGTCTGCACTCATTCAATGTTTCAAATACATTGAAAATACTACTGAGTAGTAATAAATATAAAATTTTCTATTTTGTTTGGGATTAAATACATCTTGACTTAGCAAAATCTTGATTTCAAGTAATGATAGCAGTAGGTAAAAACAATATTTAAAAAAAACTCTATCTTATATGGTTATTATTTAAATTATGTATATATAACTATATATATGACTAGTTATATATAGTTTTTTTTATATATAAGTATATATATAAAACTTATGATATGATAAATGCACAAATATATTGGCAATCCTCTAAACTACCCAAACTTTATAATCTTGATTTCTAGCAACATACTGTCATGTAAGGTCTTTATAATAGCACTGTATTATTAAATATTATATTTAGTTGCAGCAGTTTTAAATAGCATTGAGTCCTCAAATCCTATTTATTTTGAAGTATTAACAGAATTTTTATGTGAATATTTAGATATACAGTCATCCTTCCGTATCTGCAGGAGATTGGTTCTAGGACCCACCGCATATACCAACATCCACGGATTCTCAAGTCCTGCAATAAGTCTTGCGGGAACCCATAGATATAAAAAGTCAGTTCTTTGTATACGTAGGTTCCACATCCTGTGAATAACGTATTTTCTGTCCACAGTTGGCTGAAAAAAATCTGCATATAAGCGGACTCACACATTTCAAACCCATGTTGTTCAAAAGTCAACTCTTCTTTCAATATTATTAGTTCTTTAATCTCAGGAAACTAAGCATTTCTTAGCATTTTATAGGGATATTTTCATGAAATAAATAATATGTTCTATATCAAAAATGTTAGTAAGTATTCAAATCTCACATTTTGTTAACTAAAAATCCAAATACTTTGCCTCTTAGTTCTGTGGTTTTAGTTCCTATTACCCTGCCTTCTGTATTTGTTTTTATTTTTTTATTTGTACTTAACAGAAATTCTTTAAATGGTGACAATGTAATATTTAGTCAAGGGTGCAAATAACTTTAGTTGTAATAAAATATATTTGTATCATGTAAACATAACATTTGAACTAATATTTTTTTAAAAAGGCATGAGGGAGTTGAGGTACTAAATTTGTAGTATTTTCTTAAATCTAGTGTAATTTAATATATGATCTGGTTCTTGTCAACTTCAGAAGTCAAAGTTGTGTGCTTTGGAAAGTAATATTCAGTATCTTAATACAAAATTTTGAAGATAGAATAAAAAAGCTTTTGGGGGGCATTTCTCACTTTTAGATGCAGTTCACTATAGGAGAATATTTTAAGACAGATTTCTAATAAAGTGAAATTCTTTCTGCCCTTATACTGTCTCATGTACTGAATATTCATGGAAATAATTAAATAAGCCTGTGTGGACTTAAAAGATGAATCACCTAATGTGGCTAAATTACAAGGAGTAGAAAATAGGAGCTGCTGGGCCGGCCTGGTGGCGCACTGCTACAGTGCGCCGCTTGGGAAGCGCGGTGGCGCTCCCGCCGAGGGTTCGGATCCCACATACAGACCGGCCGCTCACTGGCTGAGCGAGGTACGGGCACCACACTGAGGGTTGCGATCCCGTTGCCGGTCCCGGTCCGCTACGGGCGCGACACTGAGGGTTGCGATCCGTTGCCGGTCACGAAAAAAGACAAAAAAAGGAAAAAAAAAAAAAAAAGAAAATAGGAGCTGCTTATGACTCAGGCGAAACATAGAGAAATAAGTAAGATTGAAAAACCTTATGTTTTTATTCATGTATGCATTCATTCATTCATAATTGCTTAGTCTTTGAAAGCCAATGCTTTAAAATTGTCTGAGGACAATTTTAGTTGAAAATATAAGTGAAACTATTATTGTTGGTTATCTGCTAGTTGTTTGTAACTTTGGATAATTCTACTGATATACACATGGGGACATTCTAGGGATGACAGAATTTGATATGAGTTAACTCCAGGTGCATGCTACTTTTTCATTTGCTAAAGGGTATAAATGAAGCTAAGAAGTTAAATAACTTGTTCTAGTAAGTGGTTGAGCCACAATATGAACTTGGTGCTCTAACTCTAGGGTGTACTTGTAATCAGTCAAGATCCAGTCAGAAGCAGAGCAGAAATTTGAACAGGGATAAAATTTTAAAAATTATTAACTGATAATAGGGAGTAACTCCTAAAAGAAGTAAAGAGAATCTAAAGAATATATGAATAGCAGATGTTGAGAGCATCCACTAATTGTCAGTCAAAGGGAGAGTACTCAAGGAAGGAACAAACTTGGAAGATGTCCCCAGCCTCCTAAACTCCTCCTCCCCAACGGGCTGAGATTCAGATCTCATTGGGGCAGGTGTGGCAATAGCCACTAGGTGACAGAGAAGTTGACTGACATGCCACAAACTAAGTCTGGAGAGCAGGAAGCCACCTGCTGTGGTACTGATAAAATTTGCTGGGAATCTGCCCCTCAGGATGTCATTGAGACTTGCTGGAAAGCTGCCTGTTGGGGAGCTGATGAGACTCACTAGAAAGTTGCACCCCTGGCATAGGAGCAAAAAGAAAAAGCACTAGAACCAGGAAGAGAAGCACTTTCCTTTGTAGTATTCCTCTAGCACCATATACTTGGTATGGCTAACTCTGCCCGCTGGCAAAGGAGAAATATTTTTAACATCCAGCTTCAAAATCATAAAGCTGAGCAAAGATGGGTAGATTCAGAGCTGAGAGGGAACACATTGATAACTGGCCTAATATTCTTGACTCATGAAATACTGCTTACTTTTCACATTGCACAATTTTGAAGAGTAAGTAATTCTAAAATATGTTGTACTTTTTCCATACATGGTACTTCAGTTTCAGTTTTCAGCTCAATTAGGAGCCATGCAACATCTGAAAGACCAATTGGAGCAGCGGACAAGGATGATAGAGGCAAATATTCATCGGCAACAAGAAGAACTAAGAAAAATTCAAGAACAACTTCAAATGGTCCATGGTCAAGGGCTGCAGGTAAGTTATTGTTATATTTGAATACAAACAAAGCATCCATTCACATTTTGTTTTTCTAGGTAAATTGACTTTTCTTAACTAAAGGTGAGTTTCAGGAGATAAATTTCATCAGTTCAATTCAATAAATACCCATTGGTTACCTACTTAATATGATTATACTTTCATCAGTTCAATTCAATAAATACCCATTGGTTACCTACTTAATATGATTATACTTAAAGTCTCTAAAGATAATTTATTATTCTTCCCTAAGGGTATTTCCATCAACATCCTTGTTTCTCCAAATTAATGGAGCCATTTTAGCAGTTCAAACTTTTATAAGTTTAATCCATAATATAAAAACTATATTTTACATAAACTTTTAAGCACATTTATGTACAGAATTTATAAGTGAATAATCAGTAATCGTTTTAATAAGATACCATTAGGTATGATTCAGATTAGTCTTATTTGACCAATTGGCAGAACCACTCTAAGAGACTAAGGACTTTGGTAGAAGGGTACTTTAAGTGAAAATTACTTCTATCTAACATCATAAATTATAAATGACACGTGATAACAGAGCTGCCAATCCACAGGCCTTTGGGTAGCACTGAGTTACACTTTTACTGACAATTGGGAGCATGATAACATTAGGATGACTAGAAGAATGAGTATGAAGCTTCATGTTTTATTCAGTAATTACTGATTGCTAATTGTTCATTCAGAATGACTTAGTCAACTTGATTCTTGCTTTTTAAACTTAATTTGTAGCTTGATTTTGCTTGCTTTCTTTTAATGATCTCATTCTTTTTTTTTTTTTTTTTTTTTTTTTTTTTTTTTTTTTTTTTTTTTTTTTTTTTTTTTTTTTATCTACAAAGCTCATTTTAATGTAATCTTTATTTTTAAAGATGTTTTTGCAGCAGTCAAATCCTGGATTGAATTTTGGTTCTGTTCAACTTTCTTCTGGAAATTCGTCTAACGTCCAGCAACTTACATCTATAAATATGCAAGGCCAGGTTGTTCCTGCTAACCAGATTCAAAGTGGAATGAATACTGGACATATTGGCACAACTCAGCACATGATACAACAGCAGACTTTACAAAGTGCATCAACTCAGGTAATGTTGTCGAGTACAGTGGGCTATGGAGTGTACAGTGACTGAAATGTATGCTATTGCTGAAAAAAAAATAAAGCTCTATCTTATAAAATACCATATTTTAAAATTAATAGTAATTAGAAAGTATACTATTGAGAGGGAACATTAAATTGTTTTGTGTAAAATTATGTTGGTGTTAAATATTTTCAATATTTTGACTTTTAAAAAATTTCACAATCTGTTTAAGGATCTAGTCTAATATTTATACCGGGTTCTTGTCATTTATAGACTACTTCTGTATGTTAAAAAGGTTTGACTTGCAAAAGAGGCTGACCAGGAAAGATGAGACCATATGTATAGAAGAGACTGTTAGGAGTACAGTGATGGCTTAATCAATATTCCAGAAAATTTTGATAATTACTATACAATTGTGACTATAAATCCCAAGGCTCTAAATGAAAAATATGAAAATGTCTAATAATTAGTCACTCACTTTGGGCATTTAACAGAAGTTCTTCATTTATATTTTAAGATCACACTTTTTTCCTAAAGTCATATCTTACCTTCTAGCAAAGTATTCAAGACTAATTCATTCTGAATTGCTGTAAGTCATTCCTTTGAGGTTAGATTTCTCCCAGAGTAATACATCCTTCCACTTCTTTTTCTGGTATGTCAACAATTGTTAGAACAATGAGTAGTAGAAGCATACTTCCCAAATAACTTTTTTCAGTTAATCCATCTGTAAAATCTTCTCTTTTCTAACAGAGTCAACAAAATGTACTGAGTGGGCACAATCAGCAAACATCTCTTCCCAGTCAGACACAGAGTACTCTTACAGCCCCACTGTATAACACCATGGTGATTTCTCAGCCTGCAGCCGGAAGTATGGTCCAGATTCCATCTAGTATGCCACAAAACAGTACCCAGAGTGCTGCAGTCACTACATTCACTCAGGACCGACAGATAAGGTAGTTGTCGTATTTCATTTGCCATTTTCAAAGTTGTAAATTGATTAAAAACAGTAATTTGATTTTTAAAAACATGTTTTTAGTTTGTTGCTAACTACAGCCAGTTCTTAAGTTAGAAATAAAAACATAGAATGTATCCATTGTTTAAAGACTTTATAATAAAAGAGTAACAACAAATCTTATTTCTTTTGCAAAAATGTGCTACTAAATATTATAGAATCCAGATTCTACAGCACACTGTTATACAAGGTTTATGATAGGCGTTGTGCCACTGTGAAACTGTCTTCTCAATACAGACGCTAGAGAGTTTTCATGTAGTAACAAGGTTAGGGTGGCTTACCTTTCTTAAGTTTATCAAGTGCTCAAAATATATTATCTCTTCTAATTCTTATTCTTTAAAAAATGTATATTAGGGTCTTATATTTTTCAGATAATAAAGAAGTGGGTTTTTAGTAATCTGGTCAAGGGTGTATAGCTAGTTAAGGAAGTGAGGAGGGGGCTCTGAACTAAAACCTGGGTGTCTGATTTCAAATCTCAAGTGCTGAAACATATACTACACCAAGCTTTTATTCATTATTCTAGGAAAACAGCCATTTATGGCTTATTTTTTTATTAATTTATTTTTATTGACACATTGTAATTGTACATACTTATAGGGTACAGTCTAATGTTTTGATCCATATATATGTTGTACATTGATGGGGTCAGAGTAGTTAATGTATTCATCACCTCATGCATTTATCATTTCTTTGTGGCGAAAACATTAAAAAAAAAAAGCCTCTCCTCTAGCTGTTATGTGATATACAAAACTTAACTGTTAACCATAGTCACCCTACTGTGTAGTAGAATACCAGAACTTACTCCTCCTATCTGATAGGAATTTTGTACCTGTTGGTCAACTTGTCCATGTGTTCCCTTAACCCATCCTCTCCTCAATCTCTGGTAATCACTGTTCTAATATACGTGTATATACCTCATTTTTTTTTAATCCATTCATCCATTCTTGGATATTTAGGTTGACTCCATGTCTTGGCTGTTGTAAATTGTGCTGTAGTACACATGGGAGTGCAGATGTCTCTTCAGCATACTGATTCCATTTTCTTTGGGTATATACCCAGTAGCAATACCTAGTAGCAATCTAGCAATCGCTAGATCATATGATAGTTCTATTTTTGATTTTTGGGGGATCCTCCATACTATTTTCCATAATGGCTGTACAGTTTATACTCCCACCAACAGCATGCAAATGTTCCCTTTTCTCCACATCTTTGTCAACACTTGTTTTCTTTTGTCTTTTTGATGATAGCCATTATAACTGGAGTAATGTAGTATCTCATTATTGTTTTGATTTGCATTTCCCTGATGATTAGTGATGTTGAGAATTTTTTCATATGCCTTTCAGTCATTTGTATGTCTTCTTTCAAGAAATATCTATTAAGATTCCTTTGCCAGTTTCTCAATTGGGTTATTTTGACTTTTTGCTGTTGAGTTGGTTAAGTTTGTTATATTTTTTGATATTAATCCCTTGTCAGATGTATAGTTTGCAGTTATTTTCTACCATTCTATAGGTTGATGTGTAAAAGCATGTTAATTTGATGTAATACTACTTGTCTATTTTTATTTTTATTGCTTGTGCTTTTGATGTCTTATTCAGAAAATCTTTGCCCAGCCCTATGTTGTGGATTGTTTTCCCTATGCTTTCTTTTAGTAGTTTCATAGTTTTGGGTATTACATTTAAATCATTAATCCATTTCAAGTTGATCTTTGTATATGGTGAGAGGGAGAGGTCTAGTGTTATTCTTCTGCATGTGGATATACAGTTTTCCCAGCAACATTTACTGATGAGACTGTCTTCCCCAATATGTATTCTTGCCACTTTTGTCAAAGTTCAGTAGGCTGTAGGTGCATGTATTTATTTCTGGGCTCTCTATTCTGTTCCATTGTTCTATGTGTCTGTTTTTATGCCAGTACCATGCAGTTTTGGCTACTACAGCTTTGTAGTATAATTTGAAGTCAGGTAGTGTGATACCTCCGGCTTTGTTCATTTTTCTTAGATTGCTTTGGCTATTTGGGATCTTTTTTTGGTTCCATATGAATTTTAGGATTGTTTTTTCTATTTCAGTGAAGAATGTCATTGGTATTTTGATAGGAATTGCATTAAATGTGTTGATAACTTTGGGTAGAATAGCCATTTTAACAATATTAATATTTCCAATGCATGAACTGGGATATCTTTCCATGTATTTATGTCTTCTTCAGTGTCTTCAGAGTTTTATAGTTTTCATTGTAGAGGTCTTTTATCTCCTTATTCCTAGGTATCTTTTTTTTTTTTTTTTAATTTCTGTAAAAGGAATTGTTTTTTTTTTTTTTTAATTTCTGTAAAAGGAATTGTTTTTTTTTTTTTTTAATTTCTGTAAAAGGAATTGTTTTTTTTTTTTTTTTGTAATTACTGTAAAAGGAATTGTTTTCTTGATTTATTTTTCAAATAGTTTGTTATTAGTATGTAAAAATCCTACTGACTTTTGTATGTTGATTTTGCATCCTGCACCTTTACTGAGTTTGTTTATTAGTTTCAACAATTTTTTGGTGGCGTCTTTAGGGTTTTCTACATATAAGATCATGTCATCTGCAAACAGGGACACTTTGACTTACTCCTTTCCAGTTTGGATACTTTTTGTTTCCTTCTCTTGTCTAATTGCTCTGGCTAGGACTTCCAGTACTATGTTGAGTAGCAGTGGTGAAAGTGGGCATCCTTGTCTTGTTCCTGATCTAAAAGGAAAAGCTCTCAGCTTTTCCCCATTCAGTATGATGTTAGCTGTGGGTTTCTCATTTATTGCTTTTATCATATCAAACCTTCTGTACCAAGTTTAAGAGTTATTATCATGAAGGTATGTTGAATTTTGTTAAATGTTTTTCTGCATCAGTTGAAATCATCATATACTTTTTGTCCTTTCTGTTAATGTGGTGTATCACATTTATTGATTTGCATATGTTAAATCATCCTCACATCCCTGTGATAAATCCCACTTGATCATGGTGAATGATCTTTTTAATGTGCTGTTGGATTCTGTTTGCTAGTTATCTTGTGGAGAATTTTTGCATCTATGTTCATCAGGGATATTGGCCTGTAATTTTCTTTTGTTGTTGTTGTTGTTGTTGTTGTTGTTGTTGTTGTTGTTGTTGTTGTTGTTGTTGTTGTTGTTGTTGTTGTGTTGTTCAGTTTTGGAATCAGAGTAATGCTGGCCTCATAAAATGAGTTGGGAAATATTTCCTCTTCCTCCTCCTCAATTTTGAAATAATCTAAATAAAATTTGTATTAATTCTTCCTTAAATGTTTAGTAGAATTCAGCAGTGAAGACATCAGGTCCTGGGCTTTTCTTTAACGGAAGACTTTGTATTACTGATTCAATTTCCTCACTTGTTATTTGTCTGTTTATATTTTCTGTTTCTTCATAATTTAATCTTAGTAAATTGTGTTCGTCCAGGAATTTATCCATTCCTTCTGTGTTATCAAATTTGTTGTCATATATTTGTCCATAATAGTCTCTTATGATCCTTTGTATTTCTGTGGAATCAGTTGTAATGTCTCCTCTTTAATTTCTGATTTTATTTATTTGAGTCTTTTTTTTTTTTCTTCATTAGTCTAGGTAAAGGTTTGTCAGTTTTGTCTTTTTTTTTTTTTTTTTTTTTTTCCTTTTTTTTTTTTTTAGCCAGTGAGCGGGAACCGGTCTGTATGTGGGATCCGAACCCTTGGCGGGAGCGCCACCACGCTCCCAAGCGGCGCACTGTAGCAGTGCGTCACCGGGCCGGCCCCAGTTTTGTTTTTAAAAAAAAAAAAACTCTGTTTCACCAAGCTCATCAATTGTATTTTTAGTTTATATTTCATAATCTCTGAGCTTGATTATTTCTTTCCTTTGGACAGTTTTGCATTGTTTTTCTAGTTCCTTTAGGTACATTGTTAGGTTGTTCATTAGAAGTCTTTCTTCTTTTTTCATATAGGCGTTTATTGCTGTAAACTTTCCTCTTAGAATTGCTTTGCCACATCCCATAGGTTTTGGTATGATGTGTTTCCATTCTTGTTTCTCTCAAGGAATTTTTAAATTTCCCTTTTAACTTCTTCATTAACCCATTGGTGGTTTAGGAGCATGTATTTAATTTCCATGTATTTGTAAAGTTTCCAAAGTTTTTCTTGTTGATTTCTAGTTTTATACCATTGTGGTCAGAAAAGATACTTGATATGATCTATGTCTTTTAAAATGTGCGCACTTGGGGGCCGGCCCGTGGCTCACTCGGGAGAGTGCGGTGCTGATAACACCAAGGCCCCGGGTTCGGATCCCATATAGGGATGGCCAGTTCGCTCACTGGCTGAGCGTGGTGCTGACAACACCAAGTCAAGGGTTGAGATCCACTTACTGGTCATCTTTAAAAAAAAAAAAAGTGCGCACTTGTTTAGTGGCCTAACATATGATCTCTCATGGAGAATGTTTCATGTGCAGTTGAGAAGAATGTGTATTTTTCAGCTCTTGGATTCAATGTTCTGTAAATGTTTGTAAGATCCATTTGACCTATGGTACAGTTTAAGTCAGATGTTTCTTTATTTTCTGTCTAGACAATCTGTTCCTTTTTGAAAGAGGGGTGTTAAAGTTCCCTACTATTATTGAATTGCAGTTTATTTTTCCCCTTAGGTCTAATAATGTTTGCTTTATGTATCTGGGTGCTTGGTGTTGGGTGCATATGTTAACAATTGTCATATCCACTTATTGAATTAATACCTTTATCATTATATAATGATCTTCTTTCTTTTTATAGTTTTTTATTTAAAGTCTATTATATCTGATATAAGTATGTCTACTCCTGCTTGCTTTTGCTTTCCATTTGCATGACATTGTTTTCCAGCCCTCATTTTCAGTCTGTGTTTATCTTTAATAGTTAGGTGAGTCTGTTGTAGGCAGCATATCATTGGGTCTGTTTTCTTATCCATTCAGCCAGACTGTGTCTTTTAATTGGAGAGTTTAAATCATTTACATTACGTAAGTTTATTACTAATATGTGAGAACTTATTCTTGCCAGTTTGTTAATTGTTTTCTGGTTATTTTGTAGATCCTTAGTGCCTTTTTCTCTTGTTATTTACCTCTGTGGATTGATGGTTTTCTGTGGTGCTAAGCTTTGTTCTCTTTCTCTTTTTCATTTGTGTATCTGCTGTAATTTCTTTTTTTGTGGTTATCTTGGGGCTAACATAAAGAATCTTGTAATTTTATACTATTTTAGGCTGACAGCAACTTAACTTTGGTCACATGAAAATACTTTAGACTTCCCCTCCACACAAATTATATTTTTCTTGCCTGAATTTATGTTTGTATTTATTGTGTGTCTTTAGCCACTAATTGTAGCTATTGTTGTTTTTGACCATTTTGACTTTAATCTTCATACTAGAGGATTGAAGAATTTACATAGAACCATTATATCATGCGGGTGTTCTGAGTTTGAATTATAAATTTGCCTTTACAGGTGAATTTTGAACTTTTTCATGATAGTAATTATCACCTTTTCATTTCCACTTGTAGAGCACTCTGTTAAGCATTTCTTGTAAGGCTGGTTGGGTAGTGATGAATTCCGTCAGCTTTTGCTTGCCTGGAGAGGTCTTTATTTCTCCCTAATTTTTGAAGGATGGCTTTGATGGATAAAGTATTCTTGGCTGACAGGTTTTTTCTTTCAGCACTTTGAATATGTTATCTCATTCTTTCCTGGCCTGCAAGGTTTCTGTTGAGAAATCTGCAAGTAGTCTAATGGGGATTCTCTTATATGTGACTTGATGCTCTTCTTGAAGCTTTTAGAATTCTCTCTTTGACTTTGACTTTTGACAGTTTGGTTATGAGATATCTCAGAGAGGATCTTTTTGGGTTGAGTCTAATTGGGGACCTTTGAGTGTCCTGAATATGAATGTCCATATTTTTCCCAGTATTTGGAAAGTTTTCAGCTATTATTTCATAAAATAGGATTACTGTGACTTCCTCCATATCTTCTCCCTCAGGATCACCTATTATTCGAATGTTGTTCACTTAATGGTGTTGCATAAGTCTTATAGGCTTGCTTCATTCTTTTTCATTCTTATTTCTTTTTTTTTTTCTCCCCTCTGACTGGGCAGTTTCAAAAGATCTGTTTTCCAAGTTTAGAAATTCTCTCTTCTGCTTGATCTATTCTGTTGTTGAAGCTCTCGATTGTATTTTTTATTTCATTATTGAATTCTTCAGCTCCGAGGTTTCTGTTTGGTTGTTTTTTTATGATATATATCTCTTTGTTAAATTTCCTATTCTGATCATGAATTGTTTTCCTGATCTCATTGAATTGCTTGTGTTCTCTTTACCTCATTGAGTTTCCTTAAGATTGTTATTTGAAATTCCTTTAAAGGCAGTTTGTAATTGTCCTTTTCTTTGCTGTCATTACTGGAGACTTACTGTGTTCCTTAGTCGGTGTCATGTTTCTTTGCTTTTTCATGTTTCTTGAGTCCCTACCTTGATACCTGCACATCTAATGGAGTAGTTGCTTTTCCAAATTTTATGGAGTCAATTACATAGAAATGACTTTTTCCTGTATGTGGGTCCTGGAATGTCTGTTGAATATGTTGCATTGGCTTTGGTTTTGTCCAGACTTGGTAGCATAGTCTCTGTGTCATTTCTTTGGTTGTAATCCTCTTCAATGATATCTGCAAATGCTTCATTGGTCTGGATTGTGGTAATTTGTACCAACACTGGCTCTGTTTTGCTGTGTTGGAGACTCCTGGCTGATTGTTGGGCCAGCTGTGTGCAGGTGCAGAGGGCCAACAATCAGATATTTTATAGTCTCACTGAGGCAGAGAGGTATTGCCTGAACCAGCTATTAGATCAGGTGTGGACACATATCTGAGGTCATATCTCCTAGGCAGTGGTGTGCTTCCTGCCCAGCTTATGGGCTGGAAACAGGTGTGCCTGGGTGCAAGGTAGGGGATCAGGCAGCTCTGTGAAGGCCTGTCAGAGAAGTGTATGCCACTGTCTGGCCAGTAGCTGGCATGCCTGGGCACAGTAGGGCCTGGTAGCTGTATGGAGGCCTGCTGGAGGAGGTGAAACCACTGCCTAATCTGCTGTGATATGGGGAGTAGGCTTGCATAGATACAGCAGGGCCTGACAGCTCTGTGGAGGGTGGCTGGATCAGCTATTGAGCCCAGATCAGGCCTGCCAGGGTGCCACAGGGCCAAGCAGCTACATAGAAGCCTGCCATGGAGAGGCAAAGCTGCTGCCTGATTGCTGTCAGTCAGGGAGCTGGTGTACACTAGTGTAGCAGGGCCCAGCAGCTCTTTGGAGAGCAACTGGGGGGAGGCGGAGCTACCACCAGTCTGTCTGTCAGGTCTGCATGGGCACCTGTGAGCTCAGTAGGCCAGTGGATTGTGCAGGGTGAGTGCACATGAATGTGGTGGACGGCTGCTTATTGGTGGCTTTGAAGTACCTAGTAATGTTATAAAAGAAAAAAGTACATATGTCTATACAGGTTTAAAATTTTTTATTGTGATAAAATATATATAACATAAAATTTACCATTTAAATGATTTTAAGGGTACAGTTGTGTCATTAAATACATTCATAATTTTGTACAACTATCACCACCAGAACTTTTTCATCTTCCCAAACTGAAGCTCCATCATCCGTGCTGTAGCATGTGTCAGAATTTCCTTCCCTTTTAAGGCTGAATAATATTCCATTGTATGTATATATGTACCACATTTTGCTCATCTCTTCATGATTGGATACTTGGGTTGCTTCCACCTTTTGGTTATTGTGATTAATACTGCTATGAACATGGGTGTACAAATATGTTTGAGTCCCTGCTTTCATTTCTTTTGGGTATGTCCTGAGGAGTGGAATTGCTTCATATGGTAATTCTATGTTTAATTTTTTGAGGAACTGTATACTGGTTTTCGCAGTGGCTACACCAGTGGCTGCACCAGTGGCTGCACCATTTTACATGACCACCAGCAGTGCACAAGGGTTTCCCCATATCCTTGCCAGCACTGGTCATTTTCTAATAATAGCCATCCTGAATAGCCAATCTCTCATTGTGGTTTTGATTTGCATTTTCCTAATGATTAGTAATATTGAGCACTTTTTCATGTGCTTATTGACCATTTGTATATCTTCTTTGGAGAAATGTGTATTGAAGTTTGACCTTTGCCCATTTTTAAATGGGTTGATTGTTGTTGGTTTGTAGGAGTTCTTTATATATTGATTGTTCCCCTTATCAGATGTATGATTTGCAGACATTTTGTCCTATCTGTGGGTTGCCTTTTCACTCTGTTAATAGTGTCCTTTGATGCATAAAATTTGTAATTTGATGTCCATTTTCTTTTTTTTTTCTTTTGTTACCTGTGCTTTTGTTGTCAGGTCTGAGAAATCATTGCCAATTCCATTGTCATGAAGCTTTTCCCCTATGTTTTCTTCTAAGAGTACTATAGTTTTAGCTCTTATGTTTAGATCTTTGATCCATTTTGAGTTAATTTTTGTATATGATGTGAGGTAAAGGTCCAATTTTATTCTTTTGAATAAATGTGGAAATCCAGAAACTTTTATTTTTGTCACGTGTCGATTTGCCATATATGTTTTTTGTTTTACTGATATCCTGAAGGGAATCTTTAAAAATATAAAACAAAATAGGAACATACAGCTTTTGAAAAACTAAATTGGCAGTACCATTAAGTATTATCTTAGATTTGTATTCAGTCTACTGGCTTTTATGATGTACATCTTATACTTTTGACTCTGCTTCTTTTCTTTCTTTAACAGATTTTCTCAAGGTCAGCAACTTGTGACCAAATTAGTGACTGCTCCTGTTGCATGTGGGGCCGTCATGGTACCTAGTACTATGCTTATGGGTCAGGTGGTGACTGCTTATCCTACTTTTGCCACACAACAGCAACAGTCACAGACATTGTCAGTAACACAGCAGCAGCAGCAACAGAGTTCCCAGGAACAGCAGCTTACTTCAGTTCAGCAACCTTCTCAGGCTCAGCTGACCCAACCACCACAGCAATTTTTACAGGTAATTCTCCCCATGGGGAAGCTATCTCAAACACATTTACTTTTATATACTGAAATTAGGCATTAAATGAACAATTTTGTAAATGATCTGAAAAAAATCCATAAAGGCTTATTGTACATTTTAAATCTCTACAAAGAAAGAAAGCTTGCCTTGGTTAGCTATTTTTTTTCTTCCCTGCTCAATCTTTGGAAGACTTTTAGCCTAGCCATGGGCATACCCAGTTATCTGAACTGTTGGGTAGAGTAAGTGATCTACTTCCTTCCCCCATCAAGGCACTTTATATAGAACCTATTTTTTCTCTCTATGGCTAGAATTTCGGGAATTTTAGGAAAGATACCTTTCTTTCTCCTCTTCCTTTCTAGCTGCCCAACAAACTCTACTCTGTACAGGGCAGGGGTATCAAGAGGGATTTCTTTTCATTAGTTTAAGCATTATCTTAAATTATTTGTTGGATTAAGTTTTATTATAATTTTTCAGTTATAAATTAACATCAGAGGAGAAGTACGATGGAGGTGTAGTATACTGTAGTTAAGAACTTGGGCTAAGGGCTGGCCTGTGGCTCACTTGGGAGAGTGTGGTGCTGATAACACCAAGGCCATGGGTTCGGATCTTATATAGGGATGGCTGGTTCGCTCACTGACTGAGCGTGGTGCCGACAACACCAAGCCAAGGGTTGAGATCCCCTTACCAGTCATCTTTTTTTTAAAAAAAAGAACTTGGGCTAAATTGAGGCTGCCCTGAGATTGAGTCAGTGGTATACCACATAGTGTGTGACCTTGGCAGGTTACTTTTTTTTTTTGTCTTTTTCCGTGTCCGGCAACGGGTCGCAACCCTCAGTGTCGCCCCTGTACCGGACCGGGACCGGCAACGGGATCACAACCCTCGGCGTTGCTCCCGTGCCTTGCTCAGCCAGTGAGCGGGAACCGGTCTGTATGTGGGATCTGAACCCTCGGGCGGGAGCGCCGCCGCGCTTCCCAAGCGGCGCACTATCGCAATGCGCCACCGGGCCGGCCCTTGGCAGGTTACTTAAACTCCCTTAAACTTCACCTATAAAATGGAGGTGAGAATAGTCCACATTTCATGGATTAAGAAATGCATGTAAATGACTGAACATAGTTCAAGGCACATAGCTAGCTGTCATGTATGACCACTATATCAACAAATGTGATAGATACTGGGATTAACCAAAATACAGACATAGATGTTATGTGGTTATATCAGATGGGATCTACTTATCTGAAGGATACAGAAGAAAGTCACCTAGGTCAGGGTCGTCTTCAGCAAAGAAATTAACAGAACCAGTTTCTGAAACTCAGTATCCTCACTGGGAAATCTAACTTCTTTCCTTCTGGCCTGGCTGGAGCAATTTTGAATGTAGGCTAGCCTAGATTTGTACTGGAGACCACCTCATCTAGGCCAGGCACATATAATCAATTTCAGAGTTATATAAAATATGTGATTAGGGTGCCGGCCCGGTGGCGCACTGCTATAGTGCACCGCTTGGGAGTGTGGTGGCGCTCCCGCCGAGGGTTCGGATCCCACATACAGACCGGTTCCTGCTCACTGGCTGAGCGAGGCGTGGGAGCAACACCGAGGGTTGCGATCCCGTTGCCGGTCCTGGTCCGGTACGGGGGCAACACTGAGGGTTGCGATCTGTTGCCGGACACGGAAAAAGACAAAAAAAAAAAGGAAAAAAAAAAAATGTGATTAGGGGACTCAATATTGTACTGTATATTCAGGCATTAATACAGTCTTATTTTATCATTCTTTGTATCCTGGTCCAACTATAATCCTTATCTTAGTGATGTGGAAAACTAGAACAGGTTAGTTGCCCAAATATCTCTGAGAATCATACTCACAATCTCTTAGACGTGAAGCCTGTACTACAGCCATTAATAACCAGGTTAGCTATTATAAATAAAGTAATAACAAGAATTTGGAACAAGCCTAAACTATTATTTGGGGTAAATACACCAGATGAGAATTAAACAAAAGCTTAAAAAAGGATAGGGCTTGTCTTAAGATCTCAATCTTCTAAATCTATAAGGGAACGAAAGCCCTTAAAGGAATGAATATTCTTTCCTCCCCTACTTCTCCTGAAAAAAGGCATCTCAAAGACATTGGACCCATAAAGAAATATGATAGGCATCTTCATAAGTACACTTGTATGTAGATAGTAAATAAATTGGCTTTTCTAGTTACATAATACCTAGTTCCAAAATGTACCTCTGTTGTAAACTTGTAAGGCTCATAAATATCCTGAATCCTTTGTCTTACACAAACTTCCTGATAACAAAGAGAGAAAGAAAACTCTCAAGGTCCTTGGCAAAGCTTAATAGTCTTTAAGGTTTAAGAATCTGTCCTTTTGTTTGTGTGCATGTTTCCTTCATAAACATTTGCAAAACTCACCCACCACAGCTCCATTTTAAAATTAGGAATCCTGGGCCGAGCCCGTGGCACACTCGGGAGAGTGCAGTGCTGGGAGCGCCGCAGCGTTCCCGCCGCTGGTTCGGATCCTATATAGGGATGGCCGGTGCACTCACAGCGCTCACTGGCTGAGCATGGTGCAGCCGGTCTCAAAAAGGACAAAAAAAATAAATAAATAAAATTAGAAATCCTGCATCAAGTTGTATTGTCAGCAGTGGGGAAGGACTTTCATTTAAAAAAATTAACTTTATTTCAGCTAGTTTCCTTTGTATCCTAGAGTTGTAGATTAATGAGCAGCATGCCAGAAGTAAAAAGTTGGTGAAAGAAACTGAGGCTTATAGAATTGAGACTTGCCCAAGGTCACATAGATTATCATAAAAGGCAGAGCAAATCTTAAATGCTGGGCTTCTGACTACAGATCCTGTGCCTTTTTTATTTTGTTACACCACACTGCTACATACAGGACTGAAGGCTCCAACTTTGCCCTCATTTATAGGTTGCTCTTAAATAATAATATTAGTATTTAATATTTATAAAAACCCAGTGCAGTAGGCACTCTTATTCCTATTTTGTAAATGAATAAACTGAAGCCCAGAGAAGTAAACAGCTTGACCAAGTCACACATCTGATAAATGGGACACCTAGTTGAACTCACAGTCATGCTCTTGGCCACTTAACTTTGCTGTTGTAAGCAGCTGAGTGAACCTGTGTGCAAAAGGCATTGTCTATTCGTGTTTTACATAGTCATAGCTATGCTCAAGTTTTATTGTTTAAGATTTGGGTCTTTAGGACATGAAGTCAAAGAATATGTGTGGCTTGTCTGAAGATATAGATTGCTTTCTATACCATAAAATCTCTAGCGCGGACTCTTAAAAAATGAAATTCTGTCATACTTTTGAAAGAGGGAAAGCCTTACAAGCGTTTTCCAAAATATGATTTTTAAATTAGCAAAAATGATGTGGGTTATATAGAATTTAAGGGTCTTTGTCCCTATGGACAGTGGACAGCTTGAGTAAATCTTATGTGGACAGTATAAAGGGGGTGAAGCAATGTTGCATAATTCATTTGTTTTTTAGACTTCTAGGTTGCTCCATGGGAATCCTTCAGCTCAGCTCATCCTCTCTGCTGCATTTCCGCTACAACAGAGCACTTTCCCTCAGTCACATCACCAGCAACACCAGTCTCAGCAACAGCAGCAACTTAGTCGGCATAGGACTGACAGTCTGACCGATCCTTCCAAGGTTCAACCACAGTAGCATACGTGCTTCCTCTCTGACATAAGGGGAAGAAGGGGATGGCCCATAAAGAGTTGCTCAGATGACCTGAGGATAGGAGGAAAAGTTCCAGCAGTTTCATGAGATGCAGTATTGAGTGTTCTAGTTCCTGGATTAGCTTACAGGAAAAATGCTGCCTAGTGCTACAGATATAATTATACCAGCTGGCAGGAGATGATCATAGGGACATAGCCAATTCTGACAGTGTTTCAGTTGCCCAGATATTTTTTGACAGAAAGAGTATATTTTGCCAAATGTTAAGAAGCTCAGCTGTGAAACGACCTCCAGTGAATCAGAAAGGCACTAACAATGTTAGTAACTTTTAGTGGTACTGTGCTTGTTATCAAGTATTATAGAGGACACACCACTGCCATGTCAGGGGTTTACTTTCAATGATGCCATGAAGACAGTCCAGTAGATTTGGTAGCCCCCCAACCCATTACCCTTTCAGATAATGATGGAACAGTAATTACTTTCAGAATGTGTAGGTTCAAATTCTCTATGTACAGATGCTGTAAAAATACGTATATGTATGGATAAAAGGAGAGAAAGCAAAACATTTTGTATGCTGCATGAAAGCATTATCTCTTCCTTATAGGTATGAGTCCATTTCTTTAGATTCTGACATCATGTGCAAACTGGTACATCGTTTTTCCTTTTGTTTACAACACGATAGTGTTCTGTTCACTTTTCCAGGGCACAGGTCCTTTTGTTCATACTTTGGCTGTGATGTCACAGTTTGTTCGGTGAGGTATAATGTGCTGCTGGGAATGGATTTTTTTTTTCAGGTTAGATTATTGATACAGCAGGATTTTCAAGTTATTCAGAAATATCCCTCATTTCATTAGTTTTCAATTATGTTTGAAAATAGTATTTGCACTGCTTTAAATTAGATGGTTGGGAGTTCTGATCACATATTTTGATATAGTTCATAGTTGGAAATATTTGTATAAATGGTTTTCAATAAGCCTGAAAGTACTTTCAAGAATGTTTCAGTTGTAGAAGTAAAATTTGCACACAAAACATTTTAGGCACTTTTTAACATTCTCAATGGTGGGAATTTTAACTTTTAGGATTTGTTGGAATCTTTTTATTATCCTTCACAATTTCAATGCTTCTTTTAGTCAGAAATGATTCAGGGTTATTTGAGGGAAAAAAAACCCATAGTGCCTTGATTTAAATTCAGGTGATAACTCACCATCTTGAACTCATTGTCTGGTTTCAGTAGCAGTTTTGAAACCTTAGTACAAAATTAACAGCATGTGGGTCTCAGTGTCATTATTCTCCTAAGTTCTTATGAAGACTGCTATGAGTTTTTTGGAGTGGAGGCACAAATAATGTAGAAATAAAAGGTGAAAAACTAACACTATCACAGTTATTAATGTGATCCCCAAATTGTTTCATACATCAGCATCCTCCCTTAAAGCTAAATAGTCATTTGAGAATTGTCACTAAATATTTTCTCAATATGATCTTTATATTCCTACAAAGAAAAAAAGGGGTAGGAATTGGCTTTGCCTTCACTACAACACTAGAATACTATAACTCACATGCTTTCTAAACATGAACTATGATTTCACTCGTCAGTATCATATTCTAAAGTTAATAAGTTCCAACAAATACAAGTTACATACGTTTAAAAAAGCATTTTTTAGATTTGATGGTACTAATGAAATTTACAACTATAGAACAAAAGATTAATGGAAAATATCTTATTAGAATATAAAAAATTATTACTGAGGAAGGAGAAAACAACAAGCATAATAAATCAAAATTGGTCTTAAAAGAAAATGTGTAAGAGTTGAGGTTATTAAACAGAAAAAATTTTGATCAGTGAAAATGACCTAATGTAGATTGCTAGATTAAGGGGTCAGGGGAATGCTAAGTCAGTTCTTAAGAAAGATTTCTGTCCTTAGTTTTGCTATCATCCTGAAGGAACACACTTTATCTTTCTGTAGAAAACTATATCTGACCACAATTAAATTAGAAAATTAATGTTGAAAAAGAAAACCACCAAAGAAAATTAGTACCTACCCTTCTACAAAAGAAGTGTGACGAGATACGAGTCAATAATTAACATATCAAGAAGCTCTTCTTCTAGCTAAATGATCTTCCAGAAAAGATTTCTGACATTCCCATGAATATCAAGAATAGTTATCAGAATATGTATGTACCTGATCATACATATATGTAGAAAAAAATTGCTGCTGTGGATTATGGCAACAGCATTGTTTTTCTCCTTTCAAATTGCCTTTCTTGACCTAAATGCCATTCCATATATATCTGAGTTGTGCCTCATTTATTTATTGGCAATACCTAGTGATATGGATTTAGCTAACAAAAGATATGGAGACGGGTTATATTTAGGCTTATCCTGTAAGTACCATACTTTAAATAAAGATGGTGAACTGTTAGAACTGTGTACTTAGGTTAACAGAAGCAACACATAAAACAAGCCACCAGATAAACCTGTAAATGCTTACTCACATCCTCCTACTCCAGCCCCTTCAGGTATTTTTCATCTTCACAAATATTTGGGAAAGAAAGTTAAACTGACTTTTCCTTTATAATTCCTGTTGTTCTTCACAGTTCATTTCTTTCCTGCTTGGAATTGACAGTTGGCTAAATTTTAAAAAGCAGCAAGCTGCTTTTCCTTTGCTATCATTACGAAGCATTGTTAGAAGAGCTAGTAAGCACCAGCTACCTTTTAGCTCCTTCTTTACCTTTGTTTTCCTTTTGCTACTCCTGAATTTGGGTTGCAAAGCTGGCCCTGCCCCCTCCACTAAGACTTGAGCGTTCAGATGCAGATTCAGCAATTGCCTATTCTTCATTTCTGTAGCCAAAGTTATTAATTAAACTTCCAAATCTAAATCTTAAGATACCAAATAGGAACACCTTTCAGCTTCTTAAAAATCTTACCTTCCCTGTGCTTTTACTCTCACAGGTATTCAGTTTTATTCTTAAAAACATTTTATTCTTGGTGGCACTTTTTAGGTAAGAAACTGTTGAGCTTATTTAGGTAAGAAACTGTTGGAGTTAAAGAAAATGCTAGCTACTCTGCAGTTGGGTATCTTGCTTTGGACAGCTGGGGCATTGGGTGAGTCAGTATTGTTTAACAAATACAAGTGAGACTGCAAGGATTAGTAAATTTACTGCCAAGAGTGGTATCAAACCAGAACCTAGACACTTAAAAGTACTCCATTTTCTGAGTGGAAAATACTGGAGGACAAGTAAATGTGGGGATGGGAGTAGCACGTAAGTAAATACAACAGTTCAGTCTCCAAACTCCATTCCTATATTGAGGCAAGAGTTGAAAAGTGCTATGCTCTGTTTTGTCACTTAAAATCTGGCTTAGGAATATACAAGTGATAAAAGGATGCCAGTGATTTTGAATAGTTTGTTATAGAATACTTAGTACAGAAGAGTGAAAATGTTGTTTGAATTCTTCAGAAGTGCTGTAGTTGTTGGTCATTGCCTTAAAGCAGTCTGCTTGAAGTTAGGCGCACTGGAGCAGTCCAGTTCTTTAAAGGGCATTGAGTTAAAGGGAGATGAACCCTAGTTCAAGAAGCCTTAGAAAGGGCTCTTTATAATAGTACAATACAGGCAGGTGAAATTTCTTTTAAGCTAGATATTACTCAGTGAGTTTTAAAATGTTACCACTATTTTGAGGCAAATTTTTTAAAAGTTGGAATGCAAATAGCATTTTACTTTTTTCTTTGTATTTCTTTGGTGATTGACAGTTTGTTGATGAATATTTGTGTACAAGTCATTCAAGTCTATAACCTTTCCAATTAATTATCTGTGGCCCTGTTCTTAGTCCCACAGGAGTCCTGTTGGAAGGTATAAACACTGGACATTAATATTGCTGAGTGAGTCTAGCCAGGAATAAGCTGATTGGAATTTTTAAATGGTAGAGAAGAAACAGCACAAAGGCACTTGCCATTTTAATAATGATTGGAGAAAGAGAACCTTTTAAGTTTGTTTGGATTGGGTGAGTATTCTAAAAGGAGCTTGTGAAGTAATTGCAAAGGAAAAGAGTCGACTATTTTTATACCATATTTAATATATTTGTATATAACTATGAGTATAGTAGGAACCCTCCACACGCCTCCCACTTTTCTAATTTACTTCCCCCTTTTGCCATAGCTCTAGTATAGCCTCATCCGCATGGGTAATGTGCCTATCGTCAGCCTACCAAAAGATAGTGCTGCTGCTTTTTGAGACAGGTGAGAAGAACCAACTCTCATGCCTGGGGATCCTTTGTGGGAGGAATAGCACACACTTTTAAAACAACATACCACAGTCTAAAAGCATCATTTTGAAATGTAAGAAGCACTTTATTTAATTATTCATTTTTGATAAAGTTTATTGTCTTAGGCATTAACCATTTCTAAAGGATCCCCAAATCATCACTTAGGTGAAATTATAAAATGATACATTTCTGAGAAATGTGTAGATCCAGTGAACCGTAGTAGGTTTATGGGAGCGATTTCAAGGTAGCCAAATGAACTTTGACTTTTGTTTTGAATGTGGTGAAGTCAGGAGATTGTAGATGCCTAGTTCCATTTAAACACTATTGTAAACCTATCTTGCCTATTGTGTGGACACCAAAAGAGACCAATGAGCCTGTTTGTTTTCAGAGGTCTAGGAAAATTGCATCTGTGTGCGTAGATATACAGAACTAATCTAAAAGTGATTGGTAGTAATATTTTAGAATACAATAATTTCAAAAATTATTCTAAGTGTTTTAAATGTGCCCTGAAATGTTGGCATGTCATTTCAGCGTTTCCATTTGAATTGCTCTTGTAATATTTTTGCACAAGGAGTGAGAAAAAGACTACTTTGGTTAAAGGAGGGGAAAAAAAAGTATAATTTGGTCTTAATGTCTCCTGTGTAAACACTGGAGATAAATTTTGTTGGTATAAGTTATTAATTCAGGATATTTAAAAGTGTTGAACAGCTTACAAGAAATTAAGCAAACCTGGATTTTAAAAATTAAAGTATTTTCTTTTCATGTGATTGTTTTGCATATTTTTTTCCCTATGTCATAACACTACATTCCTTGTTTTTCTTAAATAAATACTTTGCGAGTTTTGTTTTGAGTACTTAACAATATTTTGTAAACTGCCCTGGGTTTTCCCAGGGAAACATTCTTTAGAGAAATAGGATATAGTTTATGAAGAGACTATTAAGTGAAATTCCATCACCACCACCAGCAAACATTGAGGTGCTGCATTAAGTGACAATCAAAACAGTAAGTTTTTATGAAAGAGTTAGAAAGTGGTCGAAAGGAACAATTGCTTTGAAAGCAGTTCTCTGGATTTCTCGAATAAAAATGGCTAAATGTATTTATTTATAAGTATCTTTGCATTCTTTTTCGTCAGAGTGATTTCAGTGTCATGTATTTAATTTGTGGTTTGTTTTCTGTTTTGCATCGTAATCTTTTTTACTTAGAGAACTGTCTCTTGTTTGGGGTGCAATTGCTAGCCCTCATGATGACTATTCATGGACAATTGAATCTGTTTTACTTCAGGACGGCAGTGGAGGGCCCAAACAAGATGCCCCTGCACTTCCCTCCTGGTCTCAACTCATTTAAGAAAAAATTTTAAAAAGGTAACTCCCTTCAAATCTGCTTCATATAGCTCCAACCTTTTCAGGTTTCACTTGCTGCCTTTTCTATTTTATGGCCACTTTCTGTATGGTTACTTCCCCAACACAGCCAAAGGCCAGCAGAACCAATGGCACATGCTGCCTCTATTTTGCCCATTCTGAGAAATATTGGTAAAACAAACAGCATCTTGTAAAGACTGTCATTATCATATCCATAGTAAAGTCCTTAAATATAGGTGGAACAATGTACATACACTGAAAACTTCTACAAAAAGTTTGCTCTTTATATACTATAGTGTTGTTTTGTCCTTTAATAAAACAAAACTTCCATATACAGCACTGTCCAGTAATGCAGTGTTTGAACATTTGAAGCCCAGACATTTGAGGATCCTTCTTGCTCATATGCATAATCCTCCACTTTAGGGCTGCCAGAGTAGCTCTGGAGTTCCACAGGATAGGTAAAGCACACACAGGGATCCTTAGAGAATGGTAACTAAAGCACGTCAACCACAAGTTGGATTTAATGATGTAAAAGATGTTCCTTAACTCTGAGGATTAAATTGAAGATATATTTTCAAATATATGCATTGAAATTTCTGAAGAAACAAACTGTGACATCGCTTTAAAAAACAACATTCAGGTGTTTTATAATGTATGTTTTTGAGTTGGCCTGTACTGGTGCAAGTACACTGCTGGCAATGGTTGTGCTAGTACTAACTAAGAAGTTAAAATGTAGGAAAAGCTATGTTATCTTCAGGTTGATGTATAACTAGACAATCATTTTCAAGCAAAAAAGTTGGCCAGGAAATGTCCTTTTTTCTTTTTTTTAAATAGCTGTGTCAGCCAGAACAGCTGTAATTTAGACCATTCTGGAATTATTTTGAAATCTATTTTACATGGTATAAGTTGGGGAAGGGCTTCAGTCAGTATGGCACTTTCATATTCACTCTATGTAAGATTTTTTTTTTCCTTTTTGTCTTTTTTCGTGACCGGCAACGGATCGCAACCCTCGGTGTTGCACCCGCACCTCACTCAGCCAGTGAGCAGCCGGTCTGTATGTGGGATCCGAACCCTCGGCGGGAGCGCCGCCACAATCCCAAGCAGCGCACTATAGCAGTGCGCCACCGGGCCGGCCCCACTCTATGTAAAGATTGAAACCCAAAGAAAAGTTAAATTCAGCACTGTATTGAAACCAGTTAGTGCAAAAAAGAGTTTTCTTTGTAAACTTTTAATTGTTAACATCAGTTGGTAGTTGTGAAAACACGAACCAAATTCTTTCTAATGTTCTGTGTGGTTCTTAATGTGCTATTGACATTGCTATCCTTACTGCTTGGTTCTTGGTTTTAAATCAAAAAGTAGATGTAGCCCTTCCTTCTTACTTCCAAAAGGGTGGAGCTATACATGGCTAACTGATCTTAAGAATTTTTTTTTTTTCCTTAAGCAGACATTTAATTGAAATCAAAATTGATTTACAAAAAAGAGACACATTTTTCCAGGTATTGTCTTATGCCAAAATCCTAAATTGCATAGAAGCATGAGGGATAATGAATGGTTCAACGGTGCTATATTAAGTTCACTGATTTCCATGACTATGTTTGGAAATACAATAAATATTGTATAAAATGTGGATCATTTTGTTACCAACTTAATATTGTCATTTTAATTTGATGTTTTAATTGGTTACACTTGTTCTTCAAAGCTCTCCTTTGAGAAGAAAGTCAAAATGTGTTATTAGCTTACCTCCGTTCAGGCTTGCTGTGTGATCATTTTTCCAGGTTATGATGTGCATAGCTTTTAAAAACTACATGTACTATTATAATGCTTTTCCCCAGACTCTTGTAATGTATTCAGAACCTAAAATTATATCAGAAGAGCCAAGCAGTAGCATTGTTTGTTTTTTTGTAAATGTAAAAATTAGATCCAGACTTTGTTTCATTCTATAATTTTAAAAATAAAAAATACCTCAGTGCTATAATGTTTTTCAGTATCACCTGCATTTCTCAAAAAATAACACCTGCTTTATGTGGCACATAACCTGTAAGAATCACATTATTGAGGATTTTAAAGAAAGACTATTAAATATTTTAAAATCACTATCAATGACATTTTCCTTTCTTTTATTCAACAATAACTACATTAGCAATTTTTACCTTGTAGCTTAAGTATGAATTACCAAATTCAGAGTATTTGTGTACTGCTACAGGATTATGGTGCCTCAGAAAGCTATGCTGTTATTTACATATTAAGCTAGTACTGAGACCAGATTACCTGAACTGTCAAGTTTAGGCTATGATGGTACCAGCTACTTTCTATAAAGAATTGTCCTCTCTGTTCTTAGAAAAGAAGTATTAGTTATAAATCCTCACTGTCTTTGTTTATAACAAACTAAAGGGGTGTCTATCCACAGAATGAAGGTGTAGTGTGGGGACCTAGCCTGAAATTTCTTTGAAGTTCTTTATCTTAACTCATGGACATTGTATTTTTCTACCCTTTGATACATACTTTTTATAGTAGTTAGAGAGCTCCTTAAAAGTTTTCAAAAATGACTTTGATGTGCTACTGCCTACCTCAACACTTTAAAGCTACTTTTTATCCGAGGACCACTTTTAGATCCCCTGACAAGTGGTTAATTGTCTGTTCCGACCAGAGTTACTATGGAAAATAGTTGCTGCACTGATGATGCTGGGTGATTAATCAACTAGATTATTTCACAATCTCTTCCAGTGACAAATTACTGCACATTGTGGACCTTTATAGTAGCTCAGTAAACCTGAACTGCTCTGGGTCTATTATACTATTTTACTTCACACAGGGAACATGTAGATGTTTCTGCAGAAGGATTGTCCTTTGAGTTTAAAGAGGCTATCAATGGTAATGATACTTCATATGATACTAGAACATATCAGGCTGGGAGAAAACAGCTGTTACACTGCTTGGGTGGAGTAGTAGTCAAGTTAGAATGTACTTAAATGACAATGATCACTGAAGTTGCCATGATAATATGAGGTAGCCTTAGTAAATGACTGAAGGCTAGAGCCTTCAGACTTAAACTGCCTGGTTTGACTCCCTTCTTTACCATGTAACCTTGGATGAGTTACTTTTTTTTTAACCTTATATTACCTACTACCTCACAGAACTGCAAAGGTTAAGTAAGACAGTGCTTTAGAACAATGTCTAGCTTCTGTTTAGCTACTCTAAGCATATCTAAAAGATATTTAATGTATCATCAGTTTTTATATCAACTTTAGAAACTGGCCTATAAATACTACTACTACTTTAATAAATTAATTAGAAAGTTATAAACTTGTATAACACAAGGAAAAACAAGCACTGGTCATACCACTTTTATTTACATTGTATCTGTTACATTGTTTATTCAATATAGAAAAAATATGAATACATTCATAGTATTCTCTTTTAATTTGGTAATTCCACATTGTCAAATATTGACTGTTTTTATATTGGGTGTCCAACCCAATTAAAGAAAAAGAAAGAATGGACCTGGCAAACAATTCTTGTTTCATGTTACTGATAGAATCTAATTAAGAAAAGACATGGTTAAACTACTGCTTACTGGCTCAGGGAAATGTTTATGTTTTTAAAAAACAGAAATCAAGTCATTCTTTTCCCAAGAAAACTTTTAAGGTAAATATCTTAAAACATCTCAGTGATCAAGGAGAAAATGTATATTCCTGTCAAGGGGTCAGTGCTAAAAGAGTATCAGGTGGCAGACCCCAATGTACAATGGTTCTGTATATTCCAAAATGAAAATGGGGACCATATTAACATAATTATGCTGGAGAGAAGAAAAATACACACTTAGAAGTCAAGTTTCTTTTAAAAATCCACATTACAGATAGAATCAATGGGGGCCGGCCCGGTGGCACACTGCTACACTGCGCCGCTTGGGAGCGCGGCGGCGCTCCCGCCAAGGGTTCGGATCCCACATACAGACCGGTTCCCGCTCACTGGCTGAGCAAGGTGCGGGCGCAACACCAAGGGTTGCGATCCCATTGCCAGTCCCGGTCTGGTACGGGCATGACACTGAGGGTTGCAGTCCGTTGCCGGACAGTGCGGCGGCGCTCCCGCCAAGGGTTCGGATCCCACATACAGACCGGTTCCCGCTCACTGGCTGAGCGAGGTGCGGGCGCAACACCGAGGGTTGCGATCCCATTGCCAGTCCCGGTCCGGTACGGGCGCGACACTGAGGGTTGCAATCCGTTGCCGGACACGAAAAAAGACAAAAAAAAAACAGAATCAATGATTATCTCTTTGGGACATAACACTTTCATTAAATGGGTCAAGCTCACAAATCAATGCTAGAAAATACAGTATTTTCTATGACTTTTAGTTATGTACACTATTTACAGAAAGACAAGAGTTATCTATCTTAAAACTAAATACCAATGAACAAATAACTTGTTAAAAACCAGAATCAGGACTTATAAATAGGGCAGAAAATGCAAACGCCAAAAAAACGATGCCTCCTATGATTGTCACTGGAAAAGAAGAGAAAAAAATTAAATAAGGCAAAATTCCTATATCTTGATACTGTACAAAATTATGAGGGAGTCGATGAGGTTGCCTGTTATTTTTCCAATCTAGTAAACTAATCTTGGAAACAAATTAGAACCACTTAACCATTTACACAGCAAAAAACAAAACATGCCTGACTCTAAACAGTAAGAATCTGTTTCTTCTCCAGCACAATTTTGGGAAATGACAGGATTATCTTAGATTAAGACAGTGCTGGCAAGAAACAGTAGAACTACAACTCATCTTAAAACCCAATTATGTTTTTAAAATTTTTATTAGCATATTCATTTTTACAAATTGTGATATTTCTTTATGCCCTTTGCTAGACCTATCACTTCCCAAACCCCCTCTTTTCCTCCCCCCCCCATCTCTAGTAATTAAAACCCAATTACAGAAGAGAATGTTCAGCAACTTCTGACTAGCAAAGAGACTGAAATTATTCCATCTTTATAACATCTAATAATTATAGCTACACAGGAAATTTTCAGCAGAATCAGTACATATGGTCTGTATGATTCTGTCTTATAAGCACATTTTTAAGGACAAAAACTTTTCATACTTCCACACGATGATTGTTTTACTGGCTAAAAAAATGTTAGCAAAAAGCTACCATGAATTAAATAATCCTCTTAGATGAATTTGTATTTTACTAACTTCTACGCATGTGAAAAACAGTCCATGTTTGCAGTACCAGGTGTAATACTCAGGACCTCTAAGAGACGATAATTACAAAGACCAGGTATAATTTAGAAGTAAACACTTAATCAAAGCTAACACCCTTTTTCTAATCTCTCAGTGATTCTACAAAGTTTGCTTTGTAATTAAAAAAAACAAAAACTTACCAGTTCTGACAGAGATTTTTTGTGCTATCATTCTTCCTCCAATTACTGCCAATCCAGTGCATAAACAGTGTCCCACTGTTCCACCTACTGCTACACCATAAGGATCCTGGAAGCAAAAATAACTAGCATTAATTTAAAACCTAGATTGAAGCTACTACTTGAGAAAGGTAACTACCAAGCAGTACTGAAAATGGAGGTCAACTATAAAAAAAGCATAAAACAGTTCTAAAAATTCAGGTATATAATAAATTTATGAAAGGCTGTAACAGCTACTTGAAAGGAATATATATGTTATACCTAAGACTAGACCTCAATTTGTAAAATCAAAATAATCGTAATGAAATAAAGCTAATTGAACCTTTCAGCAGTTATTAAATTTCATTCACAGGCAATATTTAGCACTTATGTGACAAATGCTAGGGAGATTTAAGCTAGACCAATGTTCCCTCAGGTAGGGTTTGATATTGTGAAAAAACTAAGTAAACCTTTACTGTATAGTATGACTATGCTTCTTGAAAACAGAAACCCTGCCTCCTTATTCTCCACTGTGTCCTCAGTACTTTTAGCTCAGTGCCAGGAACAAAGTATTTACACAGTAAACATGTGCTACTTGAGCAAACTAGAGGCGTTCAGATTGGGGGGATCAGTGGAGGTTTTCCAGGAAAAAAAAAAAAAAAGCCCTGAAGAACTAGGAGGATTTGATTTTGTTTTGTGGGGAAAGGAACATGCCAAGTAGAAAGCAACAGGCCAGCAGTAAGACATAACCAACCATAGGGTATGTCTCCTTCTAGAGAGAACCAATGAGTCACAAGAGAGGAGTCCATCAAAGTAGGTGGGAGCCAGGTCATGAAGGCCTTTGTAAAACTGGAGTGTAGAGCTGGCCCCGTGGCTCACTCTGGAGAGTGCAGCGCTGTTAGTGCCGAAGCCACAGGTATGGGATGGCTGGTGCGCTCAATGGCTGAGCATGGTGCAGACAGCACTGTGCTGAGGGTTGCGATCCCCTTACCGGTCAAAAAAAAAACTTGGAGTGTAGACTTTGTCCCGAGACATGAATTGGTTTTTAGCTGGGCAGTGACTGAAAAAAGATTGTTTTAAAAGGTCTAATGGAGAGAATAAACCAGAGGGGACCAAGTGGTCAAAAAAAAAACTTGGAGTGTAGACTTTGTCCCGAGACATGAATTGGTTTTTAGCTGGGGAGTGACTGAAAAAAGATTGTTTTAAAAGGTCTAATGGAGAGAATAAACCAGAGGGGACCAAGGTTTAGGCAGGGTGATCAACTGGAATGCTACTGCAATAGCTCAGGTCAAAAACAACATTGGCCAGGATCGGGATGGGAGACATGGGCAGAGGAAAGCAGGTGAATTTAGAAAAATTACAGAGGCATAATTAATAGACCTCAGTGATGAATGAATGATAAATGTTATGAAAGATGTTTCTCTTCCATAACTCTGGATGAATTATGGTAATACCAATGTGATAAAAAGGTAGGAGAACCAGTGGAGAAAGGGTTTATGGGTGCCAACGGGAGTTAAAAGTGAAGTTCAAGAGTCAGTTGAATTCAATGGTGAATAAGCTATGGGCTTGACATAACCCTGAGAGAGAATGCAGAAAGAGAAGGATGTTGACAACATAATCATGGCAACAGAGGAAGAGTCCAAAGGAGAATGAAAAGGTGGTAGGCAATTAGCCTCCAAAGAGAACCACAGCAGGTATTGTCAATGACTGCAGTCAACTCAAAAAAAGCACCAAAGCATCAAATCAACATTAGCAGTGAGGTCAGAAACTAGAGTCCAATGAGCTTAGTAAGCAGGCAAGTAGAGCCAACTCTTATTCCCATCACAGCCAAGCCCTTTGAGACTAGGGGATGGGGAGGAACAAAGTGGTATTTAGAAGAGAAGGAGAATTAAGGAAAGGGGTTTAAAAAAAAAATTGTACATGCTAAAAATGCCCACAAAATTGGGCTGAAAGGCAAAGTATTAAGCTATAAAAGAGGTGTGGAGGATGAGGGCTGAGGACCAGAACACACGAGGAGGGAAGGGACTGCCACTGTGATGGGTGGGAATGAAGAGATGGACCTCTCTGTGAAGGAAGAGGTAAGGCTGGCTGGTGTGCAGTGGGCAGTGTATGTGCAGAGACTGAGGAAACGGAAATGGTTTGAAGCATGTACTGTGAAGAACGGAAGACTGGACCACGTTTCCCAATTTCTATTTGTGTATTGTAACTTCTAAAACTGCTACTTTAGAAGATGGTTTCATTCTATCTGAAAGTGATAACTTGAAAAGTTGCTGATTATATAAAATTAAATAGTTCCTTTAGTACAGGATTTTTCATAGTCTGTTGATTTGTATATTGAATCTTTAAGAAAATAATCAAAAAAACCCCAGGGATATATTACTTGCCAAATTTATTTGACTCTGAAACTTCCTCTCCTCACCCTCACTGACATCTCAAAGGACACTAGGATTCTGGAAAACCCAATTTGGGAAGCAGAGATAAAGTTGCAGACTAAAATGGACTGAAATAGACTACTGCATGGTTCATACAGAAATACAACAAAAAACCCCCAGGAATATTAAGGGAACAAAAAACAGATGTAATATGTCTGCCTTTTAACTATACCTGCAGTGCTGGTAGTGTGGAAGTGTAGTAACACTGTTGGGGACTGTGCTTGATACCTTACATACATTGTCTTATTTCATTCACAGAACAAAACCACAAAGTAGGTAATCCCCATCTTCAAATGAGGAAATGAAGGAGGTGCAGTGATGTGGTCACACAGCAAAAGACTCAAACCCAATCAGCATGGGCCCTACTGCTAGAATGTGGAAGACCAAGGTGTCTCCTACAGACAGGGAGTCTGGAGCCTTTCACGGCTCACTCTATGCCACACAATAACTCTGCCATCGCGATGGCTCACCCAGGCAGAACCAGCCCCCCCACCACAAAATGGCCACTTTCAAGCCCCAATTCTCACAATCTGAAAGCCAATGAAAGGCTAGAAATCAAGAAGAACATAGGGCACAGCCATTAAAGTGACATTTTAAAAGAAAGTTTTTTTATGGGAATCAAATGAAAAATAAATTTTTTTTTTTCAAAACATTCCATTTTTCCTCAAAACAGCATTTTTGTGACTTCTCTGACAAAACAGCCTTTTTCAACTATCTTAATCATGGCCCTCAACTATTTTATATTTGAAACTGCAGCCTATGTCAAGGAACTTGTTCTGTTATGGCAGACATTTCCAAGGAGTTAGAACCAATTTCAATCTGATAAAAACAGTATAATTTGATATAAAAAGATAAGAAATATTAGTTAAGATCAAGAAGAGCTCGAAGAGTAGCAGTAGCATTACATTCAACAACCATCTCCTCAGTAAATCTTGATAAATCTGTGTGAATAACAGATACCTCATATAAAACTTGACAATTCCCCTCAAAAGGAAGATTAAAAATAAAAAACCAATAGGTACTTTTAAATAAGTGGCGTTTAACAACTATGGACAAGATACAGTAGAAAAGGCTACAAGGCAGACAGCCTCAGCTCTAGTCCTTTGCCCCTGCTACCAACCTGCTCCTGTCCTCACACAAGTCACCCAATCTCTCTATGCTTCAGGTTCTTTACGCATAAAGGCTACAATAAGATGATCTGAGGTCTTGTGTAGTTTACCATTCTAGGACTTGGTATTCTTAGGGCTAGGACTTAAAAAATTTCTATACAGAAACAAGTCACCCATAATGGCAGTACTCCAAAATCAAGCACTGATTTTGGAGTAAACATTCTGATTTTGTCTTTTTTGTTCTTTGCATACTTTTAAAGTAAAACTCCTTTTTAAAATTTCTCCATGTTACTAAAATTATGTTGAAGAGTGAATATTCCAAGAGCTACAGAGAAACTTGTAAATAATTAAACCAATTATCCTCTGCTGGACAGTTAGGCTGTTTCTAAATTTCTACTAAGCTGCAATAAATATTTTATAAGTAACTTGTGCAACATTCAATTATTTATTTAGTATAAGGAACAGAAGAACCAAAAGTTATACACTTTTATGGCCTTAGATATTTACTGACAAATTGGCCTTCAGTAATATTATACCAATTTATATTTTCAACAGGTATACAAAGGAAAATTCTGAGAAGAGAAAACTAAGCCAAGATGCCAGAGCATCATTTTGGCAAAACTCAAGGAAAGAGTGACAAGTCAGCAAGATGAGTAAAAACAGCAATTAAGTTTGGATACAAGCATTTCATCTGACTGGTGGTAGAAACAGGGAGGTCAACTGTACAGAGTGGCAGGATTAGATGTGAAACAGAGTCTAGCATATGAAATAATCCTTTCACCCACCCATCCTGATTCTGTCCCGTGTTCTCTGGGGCAAAGTAATATTAACTATGTTTAGTTTAAACACAAAAGCAGTCTCACATATCACTCACCTCTCTGGCTGCCAAAACAATCGTAGTTAGTTGAGAGCGATCACCCCATTCTGCTAAGAATGTTAATGTAAGGGCTTGAACAAAAATGGGTGAAATAAAATGCAACCACTTTTTCTGAGGTATTGTTGTGCTTGTACCCGTTTCAACATCTCCTGGTCCATTTAAGAGTTTGGTTCGCTGAAACTAAAACAAACAAAAAAAATGACATTAATCCCAAGAAGCAACTCAAAATAGCACAAAATCACTTATCTTTCTTTTTAAAAGTATGCACATTCTATGGAATGTGCTCCAAAGAAACTGAATGTACGTGACCCCAAACCTCCCCTTTGAACGACTGGTCTCACGTAGCAACAAATGCTATAGTTTCAGTTTATGTTCCTCCCCGACAAAATAAATCAAATGATAACTTACTGATCACTTACTCTCCTAGATGCCATGGAAGAAACATGTAGAATTATAAAATACAGTTCCTGCTTTTCAAGAGCTTATAATCCATCTATTTAAGGAAACTAATTGTCCATGTTCAGTATTCATCTTTTCAGCTTCCTTTCTCTACCACATTCACCCTAACCCAGACTCATATCACAGCAAGCTATACAAATGGAAATGAAGTAAAATGAGCTATTTTTGTGTAGCCTACACATATCATACACAAATATGTACATCACATCATACACAATATCATACACATATCACATCATACACAAATGTGGCCACTAGAAAACCTCTGGATAGTGTTTATTCCTAGTTGAGTGCCTTGTTGGTCCAGATATTTAACAGTGCTATGACTTACTTCTTCATCTTTCTTCTTTAATTCTGCTTGAACTTCTTCCAGTTCCTCTTGACCCTCATCTGGGCTCATCTTTAAGCCTTCCCGGAGCATTCTAATGCCAAAAATGGCAAATAATGCAGTTGAAACATAGTATGTATATACTCTGGGGATGACTGTGGTGGCATAGCCAAACAAAACTAGAAGAAAATGCAACAGTATATCTGGTTAGTATTGGCGTGTATCACAACCAACCAAAGGAACAGTTAACTTCAGAAATCATAACTCAGCACTGTTTAAGTGGTTCACATTAGAAGATCATCTTAATATGTAATAACCTTAAATAATTCCACTTCTTTCCCTCCACCAATATAGAACTCATAGGTCTAGCCAAGGACCTAACAGGGCTTACCGAGAAATCAATGGTCCAGTTGAAGATGGCATGTCTTCCACAGGAACCTTTTATAAGATATTTACCTCCCTTCAAGACATGTTCAGCCAGGGGCTGGCTTGACACTTATGTTGTTCAGGGCATAGAACTGGAGGTGGAAGTAAGTTAGCTTTGATGCTCGCTAAGGAGCTCAGATTTTATAACCTGGAAGCTATAACACTTTCATATGTAGGTGATATTTCTTCATCACAAATCTTTAAATTACAAACTTTGCAGTGAAGAATCATGACATGATTCTCATATAGCATAATTCACACTCTGCTCCTTTTTAACTATTTAAAATAAGTATATCTTACGAAAGAAAACTAAAAATTCCTTATACATATATTAAAATAATATTTACAACAGCCTCAAACTTATTCAGTACCATTCTTTCTTATTGATAAAGAAAAAAAATTGTGTAAGTTATACAAAAAGTGACACTTGGAACTACATCAAGAACCCAAATTCCTAACTGTGAAACACACTGACATCAGTAGTATCAGTTGTATCAGTTGAGCAGTTAAAATTTAAAAATGATGGAAGGGCCAGAGAACACGACCATACATATAATAAATGCAATTACTCTACTTCAGCTCTTTTTCCAAAATGGGTGTAATACTTATAAATCTGCCTGAACATCAAATGTATAACCACATATATAAACTATTCCTTACTACATTACGAAATTGAAAAGATCAAAAATCATGTTTAGAAATGTAGCTAACTTATGTTATATGCACATCTATATTTGAATTATTGTATGTATATGTATGTATATTTGTATATATGTGTATACACACAGACACACATGACAAAGGCATGTATTTTCCAGCTCCATCCACTGAAAAAGCCACAAAGCAAAGACATCTCAGTAACAATGAGCCACCTTGTGCCCAGATCTTAAGTTCTAATACCATTCTTCACTGAAAGGTTCCTCAGAAAAACGGTGAATTCCAGGGCTGGCCCATGGCTCACTTTGGGAGAGTGTGGTGCTGATAACACCAAGGCCACGGGTTTGGATCCCTATATAGGGATGGCCGGTTAGCTCACGTGGGAGAGCGTGGTGCTGACAACACCAAGTCAAGTCCCCTTACCGGTCATCTTTTAAAAAGAAAAAAAAAAAAAAAAATGGTGAATTCCAAGACTGGGTAATGTAGGTACAAGATGATGAACCTGCAATATTTTGTATACCAGAAAGTAAGGAAGAGCAAAAACATGATGGGAGTATGTCAGAAGGACACAGGAGGCAGCTTGGAGAGGCTCCGCCAGCCAAATCTGGAATGCTAACAAAACAATTAAATATGGAGAAAGTAATGGAATTAGAAAGTCATCATTTTACAAGCATCAAGGGAAGGTTTAGATCATGCAAGAATCATCAATTGGTGTTAATGTATGGGGAAATTTTGATAAGGAACAGGGTACTTGTACTGTCTTCAAGTTTCTCCCTACAGATTGCATATTAGTAGCAAGGGAAGATAAAGACAATATACAAGAGAAATGTTCACCGGGTGATCAAAATTAACATCACCAATAAGGATATCATGTGCTTCCAAATGGGATACTCTTAGAGGGATAAAATAATACCCTAAGTAATTTTCTAGTCAAGAAAGCATAACCTCAATCTATAATCATGAGGAAACACCAGACAGATACAAAGTGAGAAATACTCCATTAAGAGGGGAAGGAGACAACACTGTACTCAAAAAATGTTGATGTCATCACATATTGCACATAGGTACTGATATTCAACTCTGTACTCCACAGATATGTACAATCAACTATGCTGCAATAAAAAAAAAAGCTGATGTCATAAAACACATATGAAAAGGCTAGACTGGATACTGTACTGGAGAGGAAAAGTATGGCTATAAAAGGATATTAAGTCAACTAGCAAAATTAAAATATGGAGGACAGATTATAGTATCAATATATCTATATAAAAATACATATACATTAAATTACATTTGTACATGTACACATATCTAAAATATATAGATATATAAATTATATAAATAACCTACATATATGTAAACATCTATAGATATGTAAGTTATGTGTATACATACATATATAATTTAATTTAGATTGAACACAAATGCTAAAACAAATGGGATAAAATGTCAACAATAGGTGAATTTGGGCAAAAGGTATATAGATGTTTTTGTACTATTGTGTTTTTTTTTTTTTTCCTTTTTGTCTTTTTTCGTGTCTGGCAACGGATCGCAACCCTCAGTGTCGCATTATGTTTTTCCTTTTTGTCTTTTTTCATGACCGGCAACGGGATCGCAACCCTCGGTGTTGCGCCCGCACTGCGCTCAACCAGTGAGCAGACCGGTCTCCACATGGGATCCGAACCCTCGGCAGGAGCGCCGCCGCACTCCCAAGCGCCGCACTCTACCAAGTGCGCCACCGGGCCGGCCCATACTCATTTATGTGAATAAAATTTCTCAGACCTTACATCTGCTTTTTTTAAAAAAGATTAGTGTTAATGCTAAACCTTACTTTATTCTAGCAATAAGTAATGTTCATCCACGGACATATAATTTAAAAAGAATAGCCCTGTCATCTCTGTAAGAAATGCATTTCCAATTTTTAAAAAGTGCTTAATTATTTAAATTTGTGATATATTTGCTTTGATCAACTATTGTACTAATAACTATAATAATTCAAGCCATAAAGTTAACATTTAGAGACACAGCAAAGGAAATTTTCAACATCTTTCAAAATTTAATTACATTATGTGCATATTTTTATTGCAGATAAATATAATGGGGTGATCCACAAAAGATTTCCAAGCAAAAACTTACAATCATTAGGGTAAAATTCTTCAAGGAAAGAAAATGAAAATTGAAAATAAGAATTACAGGAGAAAAAAATGTAAATTTCCAATTGTTAAAAAAGAGTATATTCATTTTTTTAAAAGGAATGAGCATAATGGTAGGTATCAAATTGCTAACAGAATCTGGATTCCGTTGGGTATTTAAAACACCATTAATAGTTTTATTTTACATAATATACCAGATATTAGATCTTTAAAACTCCCTAAATTTAAGATAAAATTTCAGATAACTTCAATGTGAGAAGGAGTACATAATTTTTCAAAATTATTTTAGAGAATACACAAGGAAAAGGTTTGAAGACCACTGATACAGACTATTTCAAGAAGTACAGGTGAGAAGAGCTGTCAGATAGTACCAGCAGCTAGAGGGAGACACAGCGAGGATTAGGACAGAAGAGGCTTACTTTCGACTACAGGTGAGGAAAAGGAACTGACTACATAGAAGTGGCAGGAACTGATGGGGCCAATTTCCAGAGGAGGGAATGGGCATAGATAGAGATGAGAGCCTTATAGTCATCCTTGAGGCTGGAAGTTTCAGCAATAAAATTCACTAATACTGTTCAAACTCATTCCAAATAAATGATTTCAACATTTGCAACTCTCCTAAGATTTCCTATTTTCTATAGCCAACGGAAGAGAAATTCATGTTTTCATTGTGAAATATGAATTTTTCCTATTTTCTATAGCCAACTGAAGAGAAATTCATGTTTTCATTGTGAAATATGAATAATGCTCATACTAATTTCCGAAATGTGAGAAATATTGAAATTATTTTAATCACTAAAATACTCATTTATATGTTTTATTTTTTTGTCTTTTTCCGTGTCCGGCAACGGATCGCAACCCGCAGTGTCGCCCCCGTACCGGACCGGGACCAGCAACGGGATCGCAACCCTCGGCGTCGCTCCCGCGCCCCGCTCAGCCAGTGAGTGGGAACCGGTCTGTATGTGGGATCCGAACCCTCGGGGGGAGCGCCGCCACGCTTCCCAAGTGGCGCACTATAGCAGTGCACCACCGGGCCGGCCCTCATTTATATGTTTTAAAAGACAAGCTTTAACAAGCATCCAAGCAGCCAGAAACAGAACTTTTTCTGTACTTTTAAGAAATGAGTTTCAGAGGGCCTTGGCCACCGCCCCCCCCCAGCTGTGACCACTGAGCGGCCACAAGAAGCGCCCTGGTCTCTCCCATGAAGGGGCAGTGGGGGGCCTCGGGCCTCCGCCACGCCCCCGACACACGCAACCAGCCCAGCAACAACCACCAAGCCATAGCAAGAAGGGCCCTGGGTTCCCGAGCTGGGATGGTAGGAGGCAAGGGCTTTTCCACACCCCCCTGACATCTGCACCCAGCCCAGCAATGACCAAGCCACCGCTGGAAGTTCCCCAGTCTCCCCTAAGGGAATGAGGCAGGTGCCACAGGCCTCAATCCTGCCCCTCCCACCTCCCTCCTTTTTCCATCCCTTTTCCTTCCCCTGCCTCTCCCCCTCCCTCTCAACTGCTCCACAACATCATCCTAGAATGTAAAAAATATCAATAAAATTCCATTTTCTTAAAAAAAAGAGTTTCATATGATAAATCTAAGGCATGCAGAGGGAAGAGAGGTGAATGACTGAGCACTCTTAATAAAATATCTAATTAATACAGACCACAACCCTTGAGGTAGGAAGAAATTATTACCTCTTTTGTACAGGGGGAAACTGAAGCTCAATGAGGTTAAGTAACTTATCATTGGGATAATACATGGCAGAGTCTGACTCAAATCCAAGTCTGACTCTAAGTGGAAAGCTCACTATTTTCTACCAAACCATGTGGCTTGGAGTGGCTTTTGAGAGGCTAAACTATGTTCAGTTATTTTAGTGTTAAGTTTACTTTCTTAGGGTCTAATTCTCTGAAAAATCGAAGCCTATAAAGTAGTCAATCTAATAACACAAACAAGGAGTCTAAGAAAGTTTCATTCCTTACCATAATAGGTAAAAATAGCTTAATAAAATATAATAAACTGAAAGTTACTTCTCAGTTATCGATTACCTACCAAACATCCTTCAACAGGAAAATATGCAATTCTCTGTAGTTTCTTGGGTCCTATTTCTAAAATATCAAATATAAATAAGCTTATTTGGACTGAAAAGAAAAAAAGCTGAAACAGAATAAAAGCAAGGACAAAAAAACCAGTGAATAAATGAGGAGTATGTATCTTGGCTATAAATAGCAAAAAATTCCACTTAAAAAGTGCAATCTGGTTTTTAGGAATTATGTACTGAAACTATTTACCTTTTACTGAATTCTGGAACATAAACCAAATTCCAATATAACTTGTTGAATGACTCAACGACTCAGTGCCACACACCATGCTTTCCCCTTAATTCAGCAAACTCATTAGGGGAAAAAAGCACACTCACCTGATAAGCATGTCATTAGGCCCAAGGCAAGCATAGCACCTGCCAGCACAGTCAGACGGTTATAGCGCATTGCCATGATGGCTGCTATAAAAAATGTCTTATCGCCCAGTTCAGATACAATGATGACTGATATGGCAGCAACAAATGCATGGATAAATCCCAAATTAGTTTGGGTGGCTGGATCATCTTTATTGGTATGAACTGGGGCTGCTGGTGTAGATCCTTTCTGAAATTAAAAAAATAAATGTTACTTTTTGAAAAATTCTTTAAAACTCTTTTATTTTTCATGTAAGATTCAGGTTTTATTTTCTGCCACGGTCCTTAAACTTATAACTGTCTAATCACTGTAAAAGCCATTAATATAATTAGGACAGTAACCTCTGATGATGGTTGCAATAATACAGGTATATGTACAATTCTCCAGAACGATTTAAAAAAGAAAGTACAGACCAGCTATATCCATACATTAAAATTATTTTCTAAGTATTCGTTATTTGACATTTAGTTCTTAGCCATATCTCACTCAAATTTTTATTAGTAACTTGGGTGGAAGACCCAGGTATGTTTATCAAACATTCAAATGATGTGAAGTTGAGAGAAATCTCAACACTTTAAAAGTCACAATGTAGGCTCTAGAAATCTCTGAAAAGGCTAGAAGCAGAGTTGATTCTAGCTAAGATGAGATTTAATTAGATATATGGATGGTCCCACATTGAAATCTAAAAATATCCTATGGGTTAGCTGGTTAGCTCACTCGGTTAGAGCACAGTGCTGATAATACTAAGGTTGAGGAGTCAGACGCCTGTACTGGCCAGCTGCCAAAAAAAAAAAAAATAAAAGTCCTAAGATGGTAAAGTGGCCTAATAAAAAAAAGACAAACCAGAGTCTTGGTTGGCATGAAGTTGAAAGTGTGACAAAAGCCCCCCAAAAGGCAACACGCTTCACTTTGAGGAGTTGGTGACAAGCCCAACATTATTTTGTGCTGCTCAGCCCTTCCCCAAAATTCTGTATATGGTTCTAGGCACCACATTTAAGAAGGCATTGCCCTCTGAAGATGACCTGAGATGGAAAAGAGACTCTAAAATCAGGGATTGGAAAGCTACCACTGAGGCCAAACCCTGCTCATACGAGTGAAGAATGTTTTCTATATTTTTAAGAGGCTGTAAAAAAATAGAGAGAGAGAGAGAGAAAGAGGGAGGAATGGGGGGGAAGAAGCGGGGAGGGAAGGACAGAAGGAAAGGAAGTAGATCATACGACAGAGACCTTATGTAGCCTGCAGAAAGCTAAAGAATTTCCTTCCTATCTGGCCCATTACAAATTCGTTTTAGACTTGGGCTCTGAAACAATCACATAAGGGACCAGGAAGAATAAGGTATCTGCAGTCCAGTAACTGGGAAAGGCTGTTATGTGAGTATCCATTCTGTATGGTCCTAAAAGAGAGAACTGAAAAGTTACCGATGATAACTAAAAATATACAGAGAAAAGACTTCATCTCAAGAGAGCCACCTGAAGCTGGAATGGACTGCTAGAGAAGGTGGTAAATTCTCTTCTCAACGTCTGAGTTCCAGCGAAGGGAACCACCACTTACAGGAAATGGGCTAGACAAGCAGTTCTTAACCAGGGTGATTTTGTCTCCCAGGGGACATTGGGCAATGTTTGGAGACATTTCTGGTTGTTTTAACTGAAGGGGAAGTACTGGCACCTAATGGCCAGAGATGCTGCTAAACACCCTATAATGCTCAGGACAGTAGCCCCTTCCCTCCGCCCCCAAGAATTATTATCCAAAATGTCAATAATTCCCAGGCTGAGAAACCCTGGACTCGATAAATCACTTCTAAAGGTTTCTTCCAATCCTAATATTTAACTTTAAATAATTCTTAAAGCTTATGAATCTCTAGAAACCTAAGAAATAAAAAGAAAAGAAACCCAAGAACATATGTTGTTTTGGACAAGGTAAAAACAGAAGTACATTTATTACATTTATTCCTAGTCAGAGAGGTGAGAGATAAGAATAAAATCCTAAATTCTTAGTGTGCATGTCATTCCTTAACACATGACGTAAACCTGACTCCCAAATTCCACAGGAAAGTTTAGAAAAATTTAAGCATTACTGACTGGACCTCTGAGCTAAAAACTGGGGAAATTAGACAATTTAGAAACTATTTTTTTTCATTTTAAGTACACACAAGAAGAAGAAGAAGAAAAAAAAAGAAACGATTAGCACCCTTGGCAGCCAGCTCTTGATTAAGCAAGTGCCATGTTAAGAGCTTCTAGCTTTCTCTCCGTTACCATCTTAGTTGCATCTATGCTGACGTCCCTTTAAAAATGAGCTTCTGGGCCGGCCCATGGCTCACTCGGGAGAGTGCGGTGCTGATAACACCAAGGCCACGGGTTCAGATCCCATATAGGGATGGCCGGTTAGCTCACTGGGTGAGCGTGGTGCTGACAACACCAAGTCAAGGGTTAAGATCCCCTTACCAGTCATCTTTAAAAAATAAATAAATAAATAAAATAAAAATGAGCTTCTGTTCTCTTCCAATATCCTATGGGCATTAAGCATCCTAAAAAATAGACATTTGATTCCGCTCTCCCTAACAAGATTTTCTTCCTGGACATACTTTTTTTTTTTTTTTTTAAAAAGATGACTGGTAAGGGGATCTTAACCCCTGACTTGGTGTTGTCAGCACCACGCTCACCCCCTGAGCAACTGGCCATCCCTATATGGGATCCGAACCTGTGGCCTTGGTGTTATCAGCACCACACTCTCCCGAGTGAGCCACAGGCCGGCCCTGGATATACTTTTTATACGAAAAAACTTCACTGTAAAATTTTAGGATCTGAAATCCAAGAAAAATTTTAGAAATAAATATACCCCATTTATGATTAATTAGCTCCGAGCTCAAACAGAAAATGTTTACTTTTAAAATCAAACACAATAGTGATCAAAACTACATATTTCTCATGTTCTTACAATTCCAACCCATAAAACTTTAGCCACATTACTCTCTGTTCCTCAGTGAAATGTAGAAGATAAAAATAAAACTTGCCTTAACAGCACAACAAAACAAAAAGCTACATATTCTTAAAACCTTCCTATATACAGGAACACAAGAAAAATCAACTTATAGCTTTTGCAATAAACAGCCATATTATTATACTTACTTATATTATTACTTAATTATATTATTATATTATAATTATATTATAGTATATTAATAAAAATGAATGATATACAATGATTAATATTATAAATTAACAATCAATAATTATAATATGTAATATATAAATACATATTAATAGCTGTAGCCATCAAACCAGTCCTTGATGGCCGAAATCATACTGTTAACCACCCATTATGATAATAACTTAAAAGTATCAGGGTTTCATGATGATAGAACATTTTTAAAAATTAAAATATTAAGAGGGTCAGAAAATGATGTCTGAATGCCTAGAATAGGGGTTGACAAACTTTTTCTTAAAAAGCCAAATACTTAGCCCGGTGGGCCATACACTTTCTGTGGTAATTACCCAACTCTGCTGCTGTACCTTGAAAGCAGCTATAGAAAATACTTAAATGAATGAGTATTCCAATAAACTGTTCCAATAAAACTTTATTTACAAAAAACAAGTCATCAGCGGTAAACTACAGTTTGCTGACCCCTGAACTCTAGAGAAGAGAGAGACATACTCCTCACTCTACATTCTCTTGTACATCTGGATTTTTTACTATGCACACAATTATAGACCATACCGTTTCTGTTGTGCATCACCTCAAAAACCTCTTAACCCGACCTCTTACTCCAGCTATAGGGCACCAATTCCTTGTAGGCCTTGACTGGCTTCAGGCAGGTTCAACCACGTTCAACTGCTCTGCACTTCACTCTTTCCCTACCTGGAAATATGGGAGAGTTAACATCTGTGGGGCAACCTTTGACCAATAACAGAAGGTGGTTCCAAGATTCATTTCATAAGGCTTTTAGTTTCAGTGGATTCAGTACTAGTCACTCATGGAGTGGCTAACTTGAAAATCCAACAGAGTGCATGCATTTGCTGCCTTTCTTGGACAGAAAATGGGAGAGAATTCGGAAATGTTCTGAGAAGAGGGAGTAAACTACCAGATAAACAACTGGGGCAAGATGAGAAAGATAAATTGGGCCCAGACTGAAAATCTTATGTTTATGGACTAACTTAGAGGCAAGAGGTTTTTGAGTATGAGACATAAACACAATTAAGGCACTGTGACTAATAATCAGGGCAGAGAGTAGAGAACACCAGCTGTTGAACCAATTAGTTAGGAGGTCAACTGTACAAGACCAATATGGAGGACAAATTAGAGAAGGAAAAAATTCTGCATAGGACAGAAAGGAAAAATCAATAGACCTTTAAAAAAGGAGGGAACCAAGGATGGTGAGGTTTTTCGCCAAGTTGACCAGAGAAACATTATTATTCCTAAAAGGTATGTGGGAAAGAGTAATAAAAATAAAGATTTTGGTTTCAGATATGTTCAATCTGAGGTGATAAAAAGCCATTTCAAATAAAGGTTTCCAAGAGGTCATCAAAAATGGGTAAAGGAGGCTAGGACAGCATCAAGTGTGTATCTGGTTGCCAGCAGCCTAAATTTAACAGCTGGAGCTTTGCAAGTAGGTGAGATTTCCAAAGAAGGCAAGAAGATAAAGTTCAAAAATTAGGACCTAAAGAATGTTGGGCCGGCCCGTGGCTCACTCGGGAGAGTGCGGTGCTGATAACACCAAGGCCGCGGGTTCGGATCCTATATAGGGATGGCCGGTTTGCTCACTGGCTGAGCGTGGTGCTGACAACACCAAGCCAAGGGTTGAGATCCCCTTACCGGTCATCTTTTAAAAAAAAAAAAAAAAAAAAAAGAATGTCTTTATTTAGAGGAAGGAGTGCAGGGGTAACACAAAGGAATAAAAATTGAAAAATTGTCTTAGATATTCAGAGAGCCAAGCAGTAAGTAGAGCATCACAGATGGTCAATTTAGGGGGAACTATCATTCGCTGAGCTACTGACTAGATGCCAAGTATTTTCACATACCTTATTTCATTTGATACTCAAAAAATTTAAGAGCTGTTTCCCCAATTTAACAGAAGAGAAGAAACTGAGGCCATATAGGCTTAAATAATCTTTCCAAATTCATATAGCCATGATGGTGAAGGACTCTTAAAAAGTGGAGTTAACCATGTCAAATGAGAACTGAAAAAGACTCCC